GATATTAGGAAAAACTTTTTCACTAAGAGGGTGGTGAAACACTGGAATGCGTTACCTAGGGAGGTGGTAGAATCTCCTTCCTTAGAGGTTTTAAGGTCAGTTGACAAAGCTGGTGGGATGATTTAATGGGAATTGGTTGTGAGAGGGGTTGGATAGATGATTGGGGTTTACCTTATATTCTATGATTCTATGATTCTATGACATTGTCTGGGTCCTTCCACCAATTGAGAGAGTCTCATACCTGATGAGGGACTGATACCACGGGTGGTGGGTATAATAGGTCAGATGCAACACACCTCCCTTTGGAAGCACGCCGCTGGCCTGCTACCTTTGGAATGCCGCTGCCAAAAGGGTGTCCAGGCTGAGGCCCTATATCCTGGTCTTCCCCCATGGCCCTGCCCATGCTGCTCCTCTTTCCACTGTAACTCTACCTCTCCCCTGGAACTTGGGGTGGCTCTGACCGGCTGGCAGGCCATGGCAGTTGGTGGCCCGGGACTCGGGGGCTTGGCTGGGGCTCCTCTGGGCATGGTGGAGGGCTCGGAACTCCTCTGGCAGGGTATGGGCAGGGCCTTGAGCGGAAGGGGTCAGACAGGGGGCTAGCCTGCCTGAATGGGGGGTTCTTGTGCTGCCCATGACTTCTAGGCCAACTGGTTCTGGGTAGAATTTAATCACCCTTTCTAGCTCTAGGACAACAGGGCCAGGTCCTGGGTTCAGGGCCTGGGTCCTGGCCCTCTTGTCTGATGCCTTGCTTTGGGATGTTGGATGTTACCATCCAGCCGCCCTAGACTCTAAAGCCAGTGCTTCCTGAGCCCCCCTGTTGCTTACCTATGCTCCCTCAGAGTTCTACCTAGGCTGTGACAGTCTTGGCTTCTAATGTAACGCCTTTTTTCATAGATATTTGGGTCAGAAGGGACCATTATGATCATCTAGTCTGACCTCCTGCACAACACAGGCCATAGAATTTCACCCACCACTCCTGCAAAAAACCTCACACCTATATCTGTGCTATTGAAGTCCTCAAATCGTAGTTTAAAGACTTCAAGGAGCAGAGAATCCTCCAGCAAGTGACCCATGCCCCATGCTACAGAGGAAGGCGAAAAACCTCCAGGGCCTCTTCCAATCTGCCCTGGAGGAAAATTCCTTCCCGACCCCAAATATGGCGATCAGCTAAACCCTGAGCATATGGGCAAGATTCATCAGCCAGATACTACAGAAAATGCTTTCCTGGGTAACTCGGATCCCACTCCATCTAATATCCCATCACAGGCCATTGGGCCTATTTACCATGAATATTTAATTACCAAAACCATGTTATCCCATCATACCATCTCCTCCATAAACTTATCGAGTTTAATCTTAAAGACAGATAGATCTTTTGCCCCCACTGCTTCCCTTGGAAGCCTTCAGAGACTGGGTGGCAAGAAAGCAAGGAATACAGGCTTAGCAGAGAAATTTCTTAACATTCACTTTATTCTTAAAGCTCTTGACAACTCTTTGAAAATAACAGAAGTCCTGAGATGCACCCTCCCTTAGTCAGAGGTCACCGATTCTTATGAGTTTGTGGTTCATCAGCATTTCAGACTGGGTAGAGGCTCTCCTGCAAGTCTTTCTTACATATGGCAATGGTCGGCCGCCCCCTGTGCTTATATAGGATCCCTGCTTTGTACCACGTATTCAACCCATAGGCTATGGCTACACTAGAGAGATTACAGCAGTGCATCTGCACCACTGTAAGCTCTCTAGAGTAGCCACTCTAAGCTGATGGCAGAGAGCTCTCCAATCGGCTTAATTAATCCACCCCCAATGAGTGGTGACAGCTATGTCGGAGGGACATAGTGCTGTCCACAGTGATGTTTAGGTCATTGTAACTTATGTTCCTCAGGGCAGGGTCACCCCGGTGGTGGGGCAAGGGTGTGTTATTCCTTCCCCCTGCCCCTGTTAAAGCCAATGAGGTTGCACCCAGCCTTAGGGTTGCTTAGTTCAATGGCCAGAGTCAATACAACCACCCTCAGATGCAGGGTAGTGCGGTCTTGCGGCCGGAGTCAATATAATCACCTTCCATTGCACTGTAGTGTGGCCAAGTGGCCAGCACCTGGGGGCCATCACCATGGGAGTGCCAGCCCCAGTAAGGGGGCCCGGACCCACCCGACTCCACCAGGCCCTGACCCAGGGCTCTAATAGTGGCAGAGTGGTCTGCCACTGGGTCAGCGGGGAGTCCCACCAAAACATGCTGACCTCATGAGAGTGGGAGGTACCACTCATCCATCCTCCCTGGGTGGCTTCCTACCTGCTTGCCTCTAGCAATAGTCCATAGGGTCCTCCAGGCTCCTTGGCACAGTATGCTCCCTGGGGTTCCACTGGCCACAGGCCTCTGGTCTGGGTCTTGGGCTCTTCAGCTCCCGTAGGCAAGGGCTGTAACAGCTCCTGGGCTGGACCCCCTACCAAGTGTCCTTCCTCCTTAGCAGTCAGCCCAGACTGAGCTAGACTGCTCCCTTTTATACTGCAGCAGCAGTCGGAGCATACCCAACAGAGTCGGGGGGGCGTGGCTTCTGCTGCTAATAGCGCTGACTTAACCCCTTCCGCTCCAGTGCAGGGCCAGTACACCCCGTCACAGTGGGGTTTATTCACACCCCTAAGTGGTAATGTAGACACAGGCCCAGTTTAAAGTCATACTTGCCCCACATCCTTGCAGGACCATGTGAATTGAAAGTGCTATGCCAGTGGCCAATAGCTGAGTCATTCAAATTTGATGGCCCCAAATTGCCGTCTTGATGGTTTTCATTGATGGTCCTTCAACAAGGTGCCAAACACCTTTCCAGGGCAGGGCAGGGCAAGGCAAGGCAGCTGTCTGGAATGCAGCATAATAGGCTGCCCCTGGGCAAGTCAAAACTACCACAGCTTCTCTACCAATATTTCAAAACAGATACAAACCAGATTTCACAATCTGATAGTCATATCCTTCTTTATCATTATCTCACCCCATCTCAGCATTGCATCCACTCTCCCTTTAGTTGAGGTGGATTGAATATAGCTCTCTCTAAAACCAGTCTGTGCTACTCTGGGTTGGTAATTTACTACAGTGCTGGAAGTGCTCCCTGCCATTATGTCTTTTCTACACTAGAAAAATTATTACTCATATTACAATTGTCCACAATGGCGCAGCTGCACTAGAGGTAGCAACGTTGTAAACACAAGTTTAGACAAAGCTCACCTGTTTTAGCAGCATCATGAAAACCTGCTCTGAGGCAATTGTGCACTAATGTGCTGCCCCACAATGCCCGACCCATACCCTCCTTCTCCTAACACTGGAAGCGAGTTTGCTGATATAGAATGCAGCAGAGCTGTTTTTACCAGTTTTCTGCTGGCAGAGTCCTGTTTAGCAAGGAGAGTCTTCCAGCAACGATCTTTGTCTATTTTAAGGTCACTTTGCACCACTTTATGGCGGGCAAATAACCTTAACAGACCAAAGAATTCAGACCGTTAGGTTTATCCTGTATTGTCATTAAATAGTTACATCTTACCTCATGAGAAAGAACTCTGAAGTATTTTTGCACTAGCCATTGGGTGCATTAAATAACATGTGATTAACTCATAAACCTTGATAGTTCCTTTTCTCATAACCATATTGCTCCACATGGAACCTTTAGCAGAAAAGGGAAAGTGATGTAGTAGATTGTAACAATTCTGGGAGTGAGGTTCAAAATAGAACTCTCCTTGCTGTGTTGACCACTTGTTCAGAGTATACCCTATTTCAATAAAAATGCTTGTGAATGATAGTACAGTAACTCCTCACTTAACGTCCTAGTTATGTTCTTGAAAAATGCAACTTTAAACGAAATGATGTTAAGTGAATCCAATTTCCCCATAAGAATTAATGTAAATTGGGGTTGGGGGGGGTTAGGTTCCAGGGAAATTTTTTTTGCCAGACAAAAGACATTAGATACATATATAGTATAAGTTTTAAATAATTTTAAAACAAACAATTTAATACTGTACTCACCAATGATGATTGTGAAGCTTGGTTGAGGCAGGGGCATAGTGGAGTAGGAGTGCAGGGGCTCGCCCTGTTCCGCCCACCCAAGGCTCCTGCTGGGGAGTGGGACCAAGGTACAGGGGCTTGCCCCGTTCTGCCTGCCTGGGGCTCCTGTCCCTCTCTGCCCGCCTGGCATTCCACCCAGGAAGCAGGGCCCGGGTGCCAGGTGGGGGGAACAAGGTAGGAGCACCGTGTGGCAGGAGCCAAACAACGTTATACGGGAACATTTTAGGACTTTAAAGGAGTATGTTCTCTAATAGGTCAGCGACCTAATAGCGAAACAATGTTAACTGGGAGGATATTAAGTGAGGAGTTACTGTAAAATAAAAATTAAGAAGAGAGGAACTCACAAGATGTGTAAGTAACATAAGCATCTCTCAGGGAATGTCTGCACTGCAGAACGAGTCCCATGACAGTGAGTCTCAGAGCCAGGGTTAACTGACCCGGGCTCATATGGCTCACACTACAGGGGCTAAAAATAGCAGTGTAGATGTTTGGGCTTGGGCTGGAGCCCAAGCTCAGAAACCCAGGAAGAGGGATGGATCTCAGAGTCTAGGCTCCAGCCTGAGCCTGAAGATCTGCACTGCTATTTTTAGCATTTATCTGCAGAAGCATGTGTTGAGGTGAATATACAATGAAAAAGGTTCATCTGGTTTACTATAAATAGATCAGAGATACTAGCCTTTACTGCAGGAATCAGCAAGGAAGTAGAGTGGGATCAGCAACTGACTCTAGTTTCCTTCAAAAGGGAGAAATGAGACATGCTCCTGTGCTGGCAGCCGTCAAATGGAGCAAGCCATATTGCTATTGGGCAGGCTGAAGTACACCTTGCTCCTTTTCCCTTGCAGTATGTGCACCAGATTGAAGAGCTTGGTTTGTTTATTTGACTTACCTGTTGGGAAAATGAAAGCAGTGTCCTGCTCTTGTTAAGTATGTGTAAGAAGGAGTTATTGACTGGAGAGCACTATCTGGTTTTAATTTTATTACCTAGGCCACACTGCAACTTTCAGATAAGTGAATTCCAAAGCACTATACAAACTCCCTGCTATACAAATACTGAATATATGAATGTCTCTGTATACCACTAAAGTACAGCCAGTTCTGGGATGTGCCACAACAACAGTTTAGCAATGCACAGCAATACTACTCCATCATTTAATACAGGAAGTGAAGATAGCAGTTCTCAAACTCTAACCTGTGGATCACTAGTGGTCCATTAAACACTAACAGGTGGTCTACAGCGAGTAACAGATCACACGGTGCTGGTTCTTCTCCTTGATTCCAGCAACTAAATTGCATTGAAAGAAGCTTAAAATATTAAATACCTCACTAATATCACCTGCCTATGTAAGCAATTGCAGTAATTATCAGAGGGATGTACTATAAATGCAAATTGGAGTGGAAGTGGTCCCTGCAATCACGAATGGAAGGAGAGGTAGTTCATGAGACAATCTTTATTAAGATGTTGTCCCACTGAAAAATTATCCACTTATAATTGAAGGGAGAATTTAACTAGGCAGATAGAATTATCCATGTCAGAATTTGGGCTGGATTTACTCTACTACTCTCACAAAGAGTGCTAGGCGTCAAGGCCTCAATTTTCACTCTCATCCATAAGATGGTAGACCAGCATTCCCCAACACTACAGGGATGGGATCAGTAATGCCTCAAAAAAGTGCCATTTACTAAATGCTACTTCCTGCAGTACCTGACTTTTCTCCAGAAGTCTTTGCTATTCAGCTACTGACCCAGCATGATTTTACCTGGATTATGAGATCACATGTTAAAATGATACTGCTGCAAGCATGGCAAAGGCTATAATGGGACTTAACAGAATTTCATGAACTAAGACTATACAACAATAAAAATAAGTAAGAAGAGCACGTGCAGTTACACTAGCTGGGACAACAATTATCTCATTTCATGCTTCATGGCACAAACTGACCACCTCCAGAGGCCAGGAAGAAAAACAACACTTACAATTAGTTGTGCTATAGAAGGGACTTACTCTCCTCTCTGAGGTACGTGGCGTTGGTCCCTGTTTGAGGCACAGTACTGGATTAAATGAACCAACAATTAGTTTCAGGAGGGAAGGAGCTAGAGTACCAGACTAGACAGAATAAATGCCTGCTGCAGTATGGAAATCCCTATATTCAGTTACTGGCCAATCTAGTTCCAAGTTCACTGGCGGGGGGAGGGTGGTTCCGAGGGACAGCACACTCAGCCCTGGGAAATGAGCATTCTAGTTTCTCACAAGTCTCATCTTCTGATAGATATTTGGAATAACATCCAGTCATGCTCCACCAGAAAAAAAATATCAGAAATTAAATGGAAACTATGCCAGAAACCCGGTTCTGCATGAACTATTTTAATGAACCAAATACCAGGTGAGATGAACACCTGACAGGGAGCTACTGATAGCTAGTACAGGGAGGAGAATGGCTGAGGGCAAGTTGAAAAAAAAGGCAAATTAAGTGCAGTAAAAGTACTCCCTCCCCCTAAAAGAGCCAACCAAACCACTCCAGTAATTAACAAATCTTAATTTCAGGTGCTAAAATAATCTTTTCCATTTAATTTCTTAACACAATTGGGTCGCAAAATGTCAATACAGTGAACAAGCCACCACAAAGACAGCTGGCAGCAAATCCTACTGGACTTCACTCTAAACTTCTCCTCACGCAGCTTCCGAGACAGACAATAAGAATGGAAACTAATGGAGAAAAAGGTGACCTTAGACAGAGAATTCTTTGCTACCCAGCCTTTCCTCAGATATTGGACCTCCCTCTCCAGACCCCCAGTTTATTTCCATGCTCATTGTGCTGCACAGATCACTTTCTCAGTGCTTCTGTGAATGCTTTAATCCCATGACTGTGAAGGTAGCAGCAGTCAGTTTTTCATAGACTAGGAACATGAGTGCGGCAGTGAGGACGGTCTGCAGGAGCTTTGCTTCAAGGCCTTTGTAGAGTCCCACCAATCCAAAACGCCTAAGAAGAAACAGGTTTGACAAATGTGAAGTTTTCTCTAAGCAAATTACAGCACTAATGAGAAATTCTGCCTGCACTGACAGTTCTGCATGCTGAAGCTCTTCCTCTATCCCTAGAAGAGTGACAAAACATGGGAAACCGAACAAGTTTCTCACACGCTTTACCCCACCAGAATACTTCATATTTTGTTGAGGAGAGTAAGTCAGTTTCCGTGGCATAGTCAACTTTTGGCCTCTATGCAGAGATTGTCAGCAAAGAAGCCAGTTACGATGTAAACACTTGCCTGTCAGACTTATTGGCCAACTAACTAACAGCCTTAGAGCAGCACTGACCTATTATTAATTAGAGTTAGAAGTTAAATTACAGACACAGAATTAGGATTCCTTATCCTATTCCCAGTCTCCTCAGCTACTTAGATTTTAAACATATGGGCTCAATAGAGAAGGGTAAGCATTCTATGCAGGAAACTTAACTCTTTTCCAGAGGAGAGGCTAAGTTGCTATCTATATAATCACCTCACTCTGAACAACATGCAGATATTTAATTTGAAAGTGTTACTTGCTCTCCCATCCCTGTTTTGCAATAGTCGACAAGTGGAACTGGGTTACTAGTTCAAGTGGGTGAAAATAAATAATGGTCAGGCCCAGCAATATTAACTGCCAATATGTTAAAAGCCCATTCTTTTGTGGGAGTATATGCGTCATTAAGACAGGAACTAGAAAGCTCACCTTACTCTCTGTCGAAGAAGATAGAGAACATTCTTAAGACTGCCTAGTGTCCGGTTTTCAGGGTTCAATCTGTGACGTCCAAACTGAAAGGGAAAGGAAAGAAACAGTGTTAACAATTTATTGGGATTATTTCCTCCTAACCATAAACCTCACTGACAGACCAAGAACCCTAATGAACAGGTAAAATGCGGAGAGGCTACTAAATTCTAAGATAACTTCTAGGATTGATTATCCTACATCTATTTTCATGTCTTCCAGCTTGTGCTGTCAAAAGGTTGCAATCAGTGCAGAAGAGTGTGGCCAAAGCTTTTACTGACCTAGTTTATTTGATATCATACCTCTAGCATTAAAACATTGTTTGCTACAGGTGAAATCTTATTGATTTTAAACTCCAGTTCCACTCCAGTCATAAACACAGAAATATACAATGCTATTATGTTTCACTGACTCCCTGTAAAACAATTCTCATTTTCAAGATTATTTTTCTAATCACCAGTCCTGCAAAAATCAATCTGGGATCCGAAATTCAAGCCGAGTTCTTTCTGGCTTGTGCATCACTGAGTTAAAGATTCACTTTATGCAAAGCCATTAACTTCAGTGCAATTACACAGGTGTAAGCAAGGGCAGAATTTAGTGCTAGAACTGGAACCTCATTTACAACTGTACTGATGATTAAGGCTAAGATTTAATCAAGGGTATTATTAGTAAAAGTCATGGACAGGTCACAGCCCATTACCTGTCCATGATTTATACCATAAATACCTCTGATTGAATCTTTCTTTTGGGGGGAGGGGGCGCTGTGGGGGGACGGGAGCCTGGAACACCAGCTGCAGGGGGAGAGCCCCAGGGGACCCCATGACACCAGGTGCCAGGGGGATGGAGCCCGCGGGGGGGGGGGCGGGGCTTACTGCTGCTCTGGCCACGGCTGGGGGGGTAGGGAGGGAGGGAAGAGAGGAGCCCCACTGCTCCGGCCGCCCCGGAATCACAAGGTCTACTCCTGCTGCCCCGGGACTGCTGCTCAGGCGGTCCTCAGGGCCAGCTGCATCGGCCGCTGCTCGGGTGGTCTCTGGGGCCAGCTGCCCAGGCCATCGGTTGGTACGGCTGGCTGTGAGGCTGCCCGAGGGGCTGGCTGCAAAAACCACTCCAGCAGTGGCTCGTGTAGCTGTCCCAAGGGCCGCCCGAGTGGCTCCAGGTCCAGCTGCTTGGGCGGTCCTAGAGTCAGCCACACTGGCTGCTGCAGAAGTCACAGAGGTCACAGGAAGTCACGGAATCTGTGACTTCCATTACCTCCGTGACAAACACAGAGTGTTATTGATGATCCATGCTCCATGCAAACATCCAACTAATTCTACCACACTTGGCTCTACAGTGCTAAGTACTTAGTATTAAAGTAAGCAGATATGACTTTGAATAGTTACTAAAAATTTTATCTCTATTGTAATACTACACCAATGTCAACATGTATAGCTACCCAAGCTAAAATAAAGGTATTCATATTACATGCTGCAGGATGTATTGACTGCTTCCAAGGATCAGGACTGAGCGATTCCCTCACCACTCTAATTAGAGTACAGCACTGGGCAATTGGCTAGGTCAGGGGTGGCCGACCTGTGACTCAACTATTGGCCCTGCCCCCACTCCACCCCTCCCCACTCCCTCCCCTAAGCCTGCTAGGCCCTTGCTCCTCCCTCTCTTGAGCCTCTTGCACGACACGAAAGAGCTTATCAGGAGGTGCGGGGAAGGAGGGGGAAGCATTGATCAGCGGGGCTGCTGGTGGGTGGGAGGCGCTGGGGGCGGGGGGAAGGCTGCTGATGTATTACTGTGGCTCTTTGGCAATGTACATTGGTAAATTCTGGCTCCTTCTCAGGCTCAGGTTGGCCACCCTTGAGCTAGGTGCATTATATGTGAGTTCACTTTCCTCTGATGCGTCAAATATTGGCCACCACTGAAAGCAAGTAGTGGTTTGACTAAATAAAGCAAACCTTATGTATATTATTTACTTTTTTAGTTTACCTTCCATCACTTGGTCTTTAGTATTTAGTCTTTAAATTTTATTTTCTGTGTTTATGGAACCTATTTTCTATTTATATTCAGAATCCACATTTTATGCAGCCTTTAAATCCACATTTTATGCAGCCTTTAAATTGTAAGGTGCCTCAAGAGTTTTTGTGGAAGACACTACATAAATGTGCTATATTGTAATTACTATTACCTGCTTATGAGACTTCCCTATCCCTACTGAAGTTCCGGCAGGCTCCTTTGGCAAGGCAACAAAAAAGCCCAAGTCTAGGCCCTTACAAATGGTAAGACCTGCCAATGACCTTCAACACAATCAGCAAGATAAGAGAAGTCTGTCCAGCAAGGACTCTTGAATAGAGAGGTCTTGGGTTGTACAGTAGTGGCCTCCAGAGGCAGAGCTGCCTTCGCTTGGAATTAGATGGACCTATTTTCAGTATAACTAATACTCACCCGCAAAATTGATTGTACTGTCTGCATGGGGTAGGTGATGGTGGTGGCAACTGCCTTAGCTACTGCACCAATGACGAATGCATCCAAAGAGGTAAGCTGTTCAACAGTGTAAGGAAAATATTACTTGCATGAAGAAACAGATCAGATGTTACAGTTTTATACCTATCACCATAACGTCTGAGAGCTTTCCACATAAAATCAATAGCAAAATCCCTAGTGGACTTCATGGAATTTCTGACACTTCTCCTGTTTCAGGGTCAAAACTATAAATAAATCTGCACAGTTAGAGAGAGGATTTACAACAACCTCTTGCATATCTCATTTCTCCTTTCGTATAATTGCTATTACTGAAACCCAGTGGGAGGAGCCACATGACTGGAATGTTTTAAAGACACTGGATACACCCTATTTAGCAAAAAGAGTGGGTAGAAGGGGAGGGGGATGGCACTCTACATGAAAGATACCATTACGAGCTTTAAAGTTATGGACAATTGAGAGGAACAGGATCTGAACTGCTTATGGTTCAATGGTCTGATGAATCACAAGATGAGGTACTGGTGGAGGTCTGTTACAGGCCATTAAAGCAGATAAGGGTATAGGATGAGCAGATCCATAAACATCTATCTGTAATCCTCGAGTATTAGGGTTGGAAGAGACCTCAGGAGGTCATCTAGTCCAACCCCCTGCTCAAAGCAGGACCAACACCAACTAAATCATCCCAGCCAGAGCTTTGTCAAGCCAGGCGTTAATGTCTAGAAACACTGAGTTATCAAGGGTTATTTCCATCATGGAAACATATGTTAGAGGTCTCATGCTGCCATTCGTAAAGCATCCTTGAGTTCTAAAAATTATAGATGGTAACTTTCTAGCACTAAAAAAACAGTGCGTCGAACATATAGAATTACCCCAAGTTGGTTGCACTGTTGGACTTCAGTCTAACCAATAAAAATGAACTGATCATTGAACTAAAAACTGATGGTTGCTCAGATGGAAGTGATCAAACACTAATTTTATTTGTTGTGTGCAAACAGAATGTAGTCCTGACCAGTAATATATATGTACTTGGTGCTCTAAAAATGAACAAATTCCCAGTGCCAAAAAAAAAACAAACATGAGAAAAACTGAGTGGGAGGAAACATTTAAACATAAAAATAAAAGTGATAATGGAGAGTTATTTAAGAATGCTTTTTTAAATGCCTAGGAAACCCACAAATCTCCAATCACATTGTGACAGTCTATACTTTGCTGGAGCGTTCTGTAATCCCCATATATCTCGTTTATATATAATTGTGATCTTGCATGTAAAGCATGCCATGTATGGTATCAGGGGAAAGGTTATGATCTGCTGGAAGCCATTGTTCTATCTAAATATGTATATCATCAATGCATACGAAATTATAAGAATTGTGTTATATGGTTTTCACTAAAATATGCTGTGGGTTTGGGAAGCACCTAGATACTAGCTCAAAGGAGACAATGATAAGAAAAGAGGTAACCAACAGATGCTGAACAGATATCACTAGCCATTTTCCAGCAGAGGAGTTACAATTCAATGACAGGAGACACATCGGGGTATTGCTTCACCTTGTGACTCAGCAATGCTCACCAGACATGCCTGGACTTGTATTCTCCAAGTACATGGACTAAGGGTATAAAACAGAACACATTGGCCACATGCTTTGCCTTTCTCCTGCCCCCATCTATGCTGCAAGCAACAAAGAGACTCAGAAGACTGGACACTCCAACAGAGGAGACTGGCCCAGGTTTAAAGGACAAACCTGTATACTAAGGACTGCAGTATCCAGGGGTCAGAAAAACTACAATCTAGATGTTGCCCAGTCTAATAGGGTTGAGAGTTTAGACTACGTGCTTATATTTTCTTTTCTTTGGGTAACTAACTCTGACTTTTTGCCTATCACTTAAAATCTATCTTTTGTAGTCAATAAATTGGTTTAACTGTTTATCTTTACCTGTGAGTTTGCCTGAAGCGTGTGGTAAATCTGCTCAGGTTTGCAAAGGCTAGTGTATATCCACTTTCCATTGATGAAGTGGGGAACCAATTAATAAATTTGCACTGCTCATCGTAAACAGTGCAAGACGGTATATTCCTGAGGTATAAAGCTGGGAGCTGGGGGGCTCTGGCTGGTGCCTTTCTTTGTGTGATTCATGAGTGGCTCTGTGAGCACTCATGCAATCTAGCTGGGTGTGGGGCTGCATATGCGGTTGTGCTGAGTGATAATGGTGCCTGGAGGCAACAGCAAAGCATTGTGAGAGACAGATCAGGCTGGAGAGTTAAGGGGGCACAGCGGTCCCACAGTCCCAGGCTGCACCCTGGGGATCCCATCACACACATAAGAAGGCTTCTTGTGTGAAAAGAAATCCTAGTAAAAAGAGTAAATGAAAGTATCAAAATAAAAAAGAATATCTATAACAAATGGAAAAATGGGGAAGTGGATAGCAATGAGTATAAATCAGCAGTTAGGAAATGCAGATAGTTGACAAGGGAAAATAAAGGTAAAAAAAAAAAATTATGGTCAGTAGGATTAAGGACAATAAGGAATTCTTTAAATTTTTCAGGAACAAATAAAATCCTAACAATGGTATAGATCCAATAGTGCAGGGGTTCTCAAACTGGGGGTCGGGACCCCTCGGGGGTCACGAGGTTATTACATGGGGGGTTGTGAGCTGTCATACTCTACCCCAAGCCCCGCTTTGCTCCCGCATTTATAATGGTGTTATATACATTAAAAAGTGTTTTTAATTTATAAGGAGGGGTCGCATGAAGGGTTAATGTTTAGCTAGTCCACCTGGAAGCAGGCGGGGCACACCCTGACTGTTTCGTAGAAGCAATGCACACATTGCTCTATCCAAGGACAAGGGCTAGATATGAACCATGAGAACTTGATTGTTTGGACAGCAATTGTGGGAGGCTTTCTTAGCCTGGGCTCAAGGCCTGAGAACCAGGATTGTAGTAGATAGGGGATGGTAACTAAGTATATGAATTAACGTCACACATTCCTTTGTGTAGCAGTGTGTAATGCTTAGGGGGAGAAATATAATAAAAGGAGAAGGTGGAAGGCGGGGGGACAGAGAACGCCCATCTCAGCTGACCAGCCTGCTTTCTTGCATAAAGCTGTGTTCTGTCTCATCATTGAACTGCCACAGTCGCACTCAGAGGCTTGCTGTGTGAAAGAGGTCAGCAGTACAAAAGATTGAGAACCACTGCAATAATAGATAAGGATGGTAAAATTGTCAATAGCAATGCAGAAAAGGCAGAAGTAATCAATAAATATTTCTGTTCTGTATTTGGAATGAAGCAGGCTGATGTATTCATATCTTACAGAGATAAGGAAATACTTTCTATTCCATCAATATCTATGGAAAATTTTAAAGCACAACTATTAAAGTTAAGCATTTTAAAACTGGAAGGACCAGATAATTTGTATCTAAGGGTATTAAAAGAATTGGACCAAAGACCACTGATGTTGGATCTGAACCACTGATGTTGATTTTTAACAAATCTTGGAATACTGGGGAAGCTCCAGAGAACTGGGAAAAAGGAAATGTTCTGCCAATATTTAAAAAAAGAGTAAATGTGATGACCCAGGTATAGGCTGGATAGTCTGACATCACTCCCAGGCAAAAGGTGGGAAGGTTGATATGGGATACGATCTGTAGATAATTTAAAAAAGGAAGCACAGTGAATGCCAATCAACAGGGTTTTATGGAAAATAGGTCTTGTCAAACAAACTTGGTACTGTTTTTTGATGAGCTTACAAGTTTGGTTGATAAAAGATAATTGTATTGACATAATATACTTGGACTTCCGTAAGGCACTGATTTAGTCCTGGATGACATTCTGATAAAAAATTAGCTCTATACAAAAATCAATGTAGCCTATATTAAATGAATTAAATAGGTCATAAAAAGTAATTGCAAATGGGGAATCATCCTCCTCGGGGGATTTCTAGTGGGGCCTTGGGGGAATCTGTTCTTGGTTCAATGCTATTCAGTATCTCTGTCAATGATCTGGAAGGAAATATAAAATCAATGCTGGTAAAATTTGCAGATGACACAAAATCGGTGTAGTAGTAAATAATGATGGAAATAGGTGAGTCATGCAGTTGAGTCTGGATTGCTTAGTAAGATAGGCTCATGTGAACAACATGCATTTGGCTATATTAAAATGCAAGGTTGCAGTGTTGTAGCCATGTTGGTCCCAAAATATGAAATAGACAAGGTTGGTGAGATATTATCTTTTATTGGACCAACCTCTCTGTTGGTGAAACAGATAAGTTTTTGGGCTTCACATTTGATGTACCAGCAACAACTACGTTGGTGAAACCATATAATCACTATGCTGTTGAATGAACTCACATAAAAAAATGATAACAGCCAAAAAAAACCTATCACCTACGGGCGAACATTTTTCACAGAGTGATCACTCTGTATCTAACCTATCAGTCCTTGTCCTCAAAGGAAACCTGCACAACACCTTCAAAAGACAAGCACAGGAATTTAAATTCATAACTCTGCTAGACAGTAAAACGCATGGTTTCAGCAGAGTCTAATTTTATGGTTCATTACAACAATTTGTAGTCTACAACCATTTGTAATCTACTAACTCTCCTCTGTTCTGTGACTGCAGAGGTGTTAATTGCCCACTTCATTTTAAGTGGTTTCTTGCAACATGTGTTAACCTCTTACACTTCATCTGTCCCATCTTGTATTTATCTATGACACGGTTATCTTTTCCAGACCTGAAGAAGATCTCTGGAAAGCTTAAACATTTGTCTCTTTCACCAACAGAACTTAATCCAATAAAAAATATTATCCCACCCACCTTGTCGGTCCTAAAATGCAAGGACAGATATCTAAGAATGACAAATGTAGGTTGCACTTACAAGATGCGAGACAGTATCCTAGAATGTAGTGACAGTGAAAAGGGCTTAGATGTAATTGTAGATAACCAAATGAACATGAGCTCCCAGGGCAATGTTGTCACTAAGAGGGCAAATATGATCCTGGGATGCATAAGTAGGGGAATAGCAAGTAGGAGTAGAAAGGTGGCATCATATACAGCATTGGTGAGACCATTCCTGGAATACTCTGTCCACTTCTGGTGTCCACACTTCAAAAAGGATGTTAAAAAATTGAAAAGGGTTCAGAAAAAAGCTACAAGAATGATTTGAAGTCTAGAATATATGCCTCATAGAAAGATTTAAGAAGCTCGATATATTTAATTTATCCAAGAGAAGGGTATGACAGATATGGCAATTTCCAGTGATATCCTGGACAAACCATACTGAAAAAAGCTAAACCTTATTAAATTAAGTTTAAATATCTTATGAGTTCATTCTATTAAAAATACAAATGTTTATGTAATGTTGTGGAATTTGTATTAACATCTCTAAAGGGAGAGACATGACTAATGTAAACGTTAGAAATTGTTATGAGCTTCAAAAGTCTCTTTTACACAAGTGTCAGATAAGTGAACTTTTAAAATTAAGTGGGTTTCCCAGGACATTTCTGGGAAAGGTGAACACATAAGAACATAAGAATGACCATGGTAAGTCAGACTAATGATCCATCTACCCCAGTATCCTCTCTTAGTGGACAGTGCCAGATGCTTCTGGCAAGTTGGAGGTTTAGGGACACCTGGAGCATGGGGTATATTTATATTTATATATATTATATTTTTGGTGTTCAAAACATCCCATGGCAAGCAATTCCACAGACTGACTGTGCTTTGTGTGAAAAAGTACAGTACTTCCTTTCGTTTGTTTTAAACCTGCTGCCTATTAATTTAATTGGGTGACCCCCTATGTTCTTGTGTCATGTGAAGAGGTGGATAACACTTCCCTACTTATTTTCTCTACACCCTTCATGATTTTATAGACCTCTATCATGTCCTCTCCTAGTCCTCTCTTTTCCAAGCTGAAAAGTCACACTCTTTAATCTCTCCTCATATGGAAGCTGTTCCATACCCTTAATCATTTTTGTTGCCTGTTTCTATACTTTTTCCAATTCTAATATACCTTTTTGAGATGGGATGAAAACTACACACAGTATTCGAAGTGTGGGTGTACCATGGATTTATACAGTGGCATTATGATATTTTCTGTTTTATTATCTATCCCTTTCCTAACAGTTCCTAACATTGTTAGCTTTTTTTGACCACTGCTGCGTACTGAGCGGATGTTTCCAAAGAACTATCCACAATGACACTGAGATCTCTTTCAGGAGTGAGAACAGCTAATATAGACCCCATCATTTTGTAGGTACAGTTGGGAGTATGTTTTCCAATGTGCATTACTTTGCACTTAACACTGAATTTCATCTGCCATTTTGTCATTTAGTCAAGTGAGATCCCGTTGTAAGTCATCACAGTCAGTTTTGGACTTAAGTACCTTGAGTAATTTCATAAATTTTGTTTGTTTTAAAGTGGCAAATTTTGCCACTTCACTGTTTACCCCTTTTTCCAGATCATTTATGGATGTTTAACAGCAAAGGTCTCAGTACAGATCCTTTGGGGACTGTAGTCCGTTGGGGGGAATGGCCCCTCACCATTCGGGTCTGTGGGTGGCCAATCCACCTCACTATGTCTCTGGGAGGTCGCCTGGAGTGGGGATCAGCGGGGCAATGGGAGACCTCAGTGCAGGTCCGTGATCAGGGCCAAATGACAAACACAATTACAGAGCCCAGTTCCTGGTCAGGGCGGGGCAACAAAGAGTCTGAGAGCTTAGGCCTGCACTCAGGCTGAGCCACAAAACAATCAGGCCTCCTAACTCTAGCGGAGTGCAAACAAGCGCAGGCTTCTTGCCTAAGAGAGGGGGAGACTGCCACCCACGGATTGGGGTGGCAGGGGGGACACAGGCCCACCCACTCCACTGCGTTCTGGCCCAGGGCCCTAGCAGTGGCAGACCGCAATACGCTGACTCACTCACTGGCAGTGTTGCAGCCAGACAGGAGTCGGCTACCCCTGGGCCACTTCCTAACTCCCCCTCAGGGCGCACCTGGCTCTGTAGAGGGTTGTCCAGGAAGAGGGCCTCTGTCAGGGCTTGGAGCTCCTCTCTGTACAGGTCTGAAAATGGTCCTGGCTAGTCCTCAGCTTCCTCGGGGTCTGTGGCAGCCTCCAGCTCGGGAGCTCACAGGAGGCATCTGGCTCCTCCAGCAGCTGGGCCGCAACTGAGTTCTCCGGCCTGCCTTTTGTACTTCCAGTCCTGCCCTCTGAACTTCCAGCGGGAGGGTTGAGCATAGCATGGCTCCGCCCACCAGGATGCAAAGTGAGGGCCCCTTCCCCCTCCGGGCCTGAGGGCAGCCAATCCCCCTCACTACAGGGACCCTGGTAGTTACTCCTCTCTGCTGTAAAAACTGATCATTTCTTCCTACCCCTTGTTTCCTGTCTTTTAACCAGTACTGAACCATGAGAGGACCTTCCCTCTTGGCCCATGACTGCTTACTTTGCTTAAGAGCCTTTGGTGTGGGACCCTGTCAAAGACTTTCTGAAAGTCCAAGTACACTATATCAACTGGCTCACCTTTGTCCACATGCTTGCTGACTCCCTCAAAGAATTCTCACAGATTGGTGAGACATGATTTTTCCCTTTACAAAAGCCATGTTGACTATTCCGCAACATATCATGTTCATATATGTGTCTTGACAATTCTGTTTTTTACTGTAGTTTCAACCAATTTGCTAGATACTGAAGTTAGTCTTACTGGCCTGTAATTGCCAGAATAATCTCGAGCCTTTTTTAAAAAATAGGCATTACATTACCTACCCTCCAGTGATCTGGTACACAGGCTGATTTAAGCAATAGGTTACATACCAGAGTTCGTAGTTCTGCAATTTCACATTTGAGTTCTTTCAGAACTTTTAGATGAATATCATCTGGTCTTGGTGGCTTATTACTATTCATTAATTTGTTCCGAAACCACCTCTACTGACACCTCAATATGGGACAGTTTCCTCAAATCTGTCACCTAAAAAGAATGGCTCAGGTGTGTGGATCTCCCCCACATCCTCTGCAGTGAAGACCTATGCAAAGATTTATTTAGTTTCTCCACAATGGCCTTCTCTTCCTTGAGTGCTCCTTTAGCACGTCATCTGAAAGTCCCCAACTATGGGACGGTTTCCCTCCGCTCTAGCCTGAAGCTCTCCTTATCTGAGACTTTCATCCTCCATCATCCAGCACAGAGGCTGTCAAACTGGGGTGAGACCACTCTACTGTGTCCCTGAAAGTCTCCTCTATGTACCTCTCTGTCTCCCTTAGCTCCTCCAGTTCAGTCACTTCGGCCTTAAGAGTCTGATATATATATATATAGTGTGTGTGTGCGTGTGTATATGTATATATACACACAAACAATTTGTTTGCCTATATACACACACAAGGGTTAAGCAAGAACTCATCCTTTTGAAGTTTCACCATGAGGAAGGACCATTATCTGCTGATTATCTGTTACTTGAGGACAATATCGGAGGTCCAAACTGTATAAAGGAATGATTCACAGATTCATGGGGATTGTTGTTCTGAACTAATAGCTGTTATGAACACGTCACCACAGAAAACCCCTTGGTGAGATATGAAGGCCTGATCACTTGCCAGACCTCTTGTTGGAATTGAGGTTCTCTCTGGTAAGCTTATTAGCATATGTATATTCTTCTATTGTTTTTAATTTGTTTTCTCTATAATGCTTTCACCTTAAGAATAAAGGTGCTTGCTTAAGCTGTGTGGTACACTATGACTTTGGGCAATTCTGCTGCTTATAGCCTCTGGCGAGAAAGCAAAGCAGGCCTGCTTAGGCAGTCTGACTTGCTGGGAAACTCAAACTATAGGCAGGGAACCGTGCGGCCTGGAAAATCCCTGGTCAGGAGGGAGAGAGACATGGGTCTCCACCCAAAAGAGGTGATGGCTGGGGAACCGGGATCCTAATAGAGGGTGCCCTTCATGGCCCACAGAGGGGGAATACAGGTGCAGTTGCCCTGAACTGTGACACAAAGTAAGACGTGACTTGATTACGGTCTACAAGTACCCACATAGGGAAAAGATTTCTGATAACAGACAGAATTTAAATCTAGCAGAAGAAGGCATACTAAGATCAATAGTTGGAAGCTAAAGCAAGACAAATTCAGACTAGAAATAAGAATTAATTTTTTTTTTTTTTAAACTGAGGGGAATGAATCACTGGAACAACTTCCTTAGGGATGCAGTTGATTCTCCATCATTTGAAATCAGGAATGAAGCTCTCTCTAAACGATAAACTATAATTCAAACAGAAGTTATGGGCTTCATCAAGAAGCTAGCAGTTGAGGTTGTATGGTCTGTGCTATGCAGGAGGTCACACTAGATCAGGGTTTCTCAAACTTCATTGCACCCTGACCCCCTTCTGACAACAAAAATTACTACACGACCCCGGGAAGGGGGACTGAAGCCCAAGCCCCATCACCCCAGGCTGGGGGGCCAAAGTGAAAGCCCAAGCCCTGCCATCCTGGGGGGCGCCGAAGCTTGAGGGCTTCAGCCCTTGGGGATGGGGCTCAGATTTTGGCTTTAGACCCGAGCCCCAGCAAATCTAACGCCAGCACTGGCAACCCCATTAAAACAGGGTCACGACCCACTCTGGGGTCCCAACCCACAGTTGGAGAATCGCTGCACTAGATAATCATAACAGTTTCTTCTGATCTCAAAAATCTATTACTCTCACCTGCAGTCGTGTCTTCAAAAGCTTTCGTTTAAACCCTTCATAGAACATGAACTGTATGGCAGGATTGAAGACCAGCAGCAAGGAGGGGAAAGTACCATTCCACAAAGCCAAGATTCCTTCATCCCGTATTATCTGATGAAAGGCATCTGATGTGGAAAGTGGAGAGAAGCAACAGGAATTCTTAACATATAGAATGACATTTTGATTGCAAAGGGTATGATTAATTCTACATTTTTAATATCATCGTCCATTGAGTATGGGTCATCTCAGCAGCCTGGTCCCACTGCTCCCTGTGATACACTTCTACTTTTGCCTTTTAAACTAATGAACAAATTCAGGAACAATGATGGACAGAGTGGGGGGCAGAGGTGTTTCTTGGTCAAACTGGCACTAGTCATACAGCTTATATTTACCTCCTTGTGTAGATGTTCCCCTTTTACAGAGGCCCAATGTCACCATGAGATTCTTCTATCTAAAATGGCTCTCTTCAGAGCTTTATTTGGTTATGTTTCATTTTAACAACAGGCAGCATAGCTGATCATAAAGTTAACCTCCCTCTGCCTCTGTTCCATTTAACTGGAAGCTACCTTAGAATGTCATCTCCCAGTCACCACCTGCTAACACTAAAATCAAGAGGCTAAATTGGAACTTGAACGTCTTTGGTTTTCATTTTAAACATGAGACATTTTTCACTTACAAAAACAAGGTACACAGCATCCAAATTAATTCCCTATGTTTCAAACGGTTCAAGTTTGAAATTTCTGTAATAAAGAATTGTGTTTAGAGAAGCTGGCTACCACAAAGTTTAAATATTTGACTTCTTCCCCCACTCAAAAGCATGGATCAGGGCAATAAAATAAATATACAAGATCTTCATGGAGAGGCTATTGCTAGTCAGTCAGCAGCACTGGGTCACGGTCATAAGGTCACTCTCTGGAGTTCTCAGGCAGCAAGAAAAAAAAAACAAAGGAATCATGGGATGTATATTCTACCTCCACCAACAAAATATTTACTATACAGGAGCTATACAGGAATAGAGCACTGAGGCATATTAAAAAAAATGGAGACAGTTTGGAGGACTGGATAGTTCAGGAGATTAAAGATGGTAAATAAAGTCTTATATTTCTAGACTGACAGTTCAAACTTTAGTCCAGTTCAGTGATGACTGGAAGCCACAGTTACCTCATTGGCTATTCAATAACCTACATGAAATCAGTTTGTGGGCCTAGCAGAATAAGTGTCCATACCCCTAACAGCTACAACCAGAACTGGCAAAAGTTGGCTCCCTTGTCAGTTTCTACAAAAAAGTTCAAGAACTGAATGGGTCAGGAAGACTGCACAACCCTCCTCCCTTAAGTGGACCCCTTTTCAGGATCAAAGATGGGCACTGTGCACACATACAGGAAGGGTGGGAGACCTGTGCTACCGTGGATAAGGGACTTTGGTCTTCAGAGCCATCAATCCAATATCTTTCACAAACATGAAATTCACTGAGAAAAATGACTGCAGCAGGTGCTTACCTACAATGCCTTTGTAGTTGGTTGGTACAATATCTTCATTTCTAAACTTTGCTCCCTGCAGTTTCAGTCGTGTGTTCACTACCCAGAGTGGAGTGGTCAAGAGTACGTTCACGACACCTAATACAAAAGCACCCCACAAGGAGAAGAAAATAAATCTTAACAAAAGTAAAACACAAAAAATGGGTGTTTTTCTACACTTTTTCCTTCTTTAATTTCAATGTACAAAATAACTCAGTAGTAATTCACATAGTATAGAAAACTACATAGCAGGAATTTAAAAAAAGCCCAACACACAGCAAAGATAACTACACAACTTCTAACTAAAATTATTTCTGTAGTTTCTCCAATGAGGCCACAGAAGCCAAAACAACGGGTTTTTCAACAACTAATTAAAGGTTTCTTTGTCTTAGAATTTGCTTGACCAGTCTTCAGTGGGGTTACTTCAGGGATTAATTTGGCCCAACATGTTAAAAAGTATATCTATTAGTTACCATCCAGCTAGACTCAGTTATAAGAGAAGCCATGTTGTTTACAGCTTTGGGAATTTTTAGAAACCAGACAAGTTTTGTTAAAACTCTTCCAGTCTAGTTTTGTTGCCTGCAAAGGAAGGCGGGATGGGTGGGAAACAGACCTCTCCCCCATTAGATATCTGCTGGAAGTTCTACTCCACATGATTCAATGATGGTGGTAAAAGCTACTGATTCAACACCTAGTTAAAGAAGATTTAGTCATTCAAAATATTGCAAAGTTGCAAAAATCTTTAACAAAGAAGCCTAATATCAGTAGGAAATCTACTCCCACTTTGATCTGTCCTGGAAGATAATGGCATTTAGGTACCATGGTAAGGGGTACATTACATAGAGAAAATGGCTCAATATCAGATACTTTTTTTGTCTGAGCATTCAACAGAAATCATTTTATAAGTGTGTGTAGATATACACCCACACCCCCAGAGAATGTGGGGTGGTAGAAGATCTAGAGTAAATATGCATGACAAATAAAGAGAGCCATAATATGAAGCAGTTCTCTATAAGATACAAAATACAAAACACCCAGCCAGCATGACCTCCAAAGGGCTTCATAAAGCAAGGAGGTCATTATGTAATTCGGTTAAAAATCGGCGTTTCACAGCATCTCATGTTATGACATACTATGTCATCATGCCTTATAGGTTCCATTACCTGCAACAAACCCCAGGACCAAATCTTTTCCTGTGGTAGAATGTTGGCCTTTGACCCAGAGAGCTCTGAGACTGTTAAACGTATAAAAATAGACAAAATTGGAGCAGCAGAGGCTGGAGATAACAGGGAACCACCCTCGATACGGTGCCAGGCTGAGGAGAAAAAACAGCAGGCAAAGTAAGGGTCAGAAAACTACCATTATAAATTGAAAGCATCTGGGATCTGACCCAAAGCCCTCTGAAGTCAATGTGAATTTTTCCATTGGTTTCAACAGACTTCAGATCAGGCCTCCAAAGAGAAAAAAAGCACTGGAAGCCATTGGTTAAACAGATACACAGAGAACAGAGTTGTGGACCCAAGAAGGAGTTATATACTGTCTTTCATCCACAAGGATCCCAAAGTGTTTTGCAGATCCATCAATATAGGAGTTTTTTATATGCTACTGAAATACTATACCTTTGGGATAGAAAACAACATCTACTCTTTGCCAGGGACAGCGAACACAATTTTTAAAAATTGCATTTATTTATTTTTCCTTTCTTTGTTTGTGTGTGTGTGTGTGTGTGTAGGGGAAGATTCACACAGCTGGCACTATATATATTACCATTATATTGAGACAATTTCCAACCAGTAACAATCACACTGACTCAATATAATTCTTAACTCTATTACTGGTTAAAATAAAGCACTCAATTCTTTCCTTATACTGATAACACTCATGAGTAACTCCACTGAAATAAGTGGAGTTACAAACGCTGGTATAAGTTAAAAGAGAAACAGACTCAGAAAATCTATAGTCAGTGTATCTTCAAATTGTACGTATCAACATTCCCCCATTTCATTGGGAAAGTACGAAGAGTTAAGTTTCTAAAGTTACAGGCTTCCATGATTAACTGTCAGTAGTACAGTTACTGGTGGGAAGAAAGAGAAGATGGAGAAGGAAAAACCAACTCTTGCATGTTTCTGGTCCCTTCTATCTCAGGAAAAATATATATACACCTTATATGAACCATATACTCTATTTAAAAAAAAAAAAAACCCGCAAAGGGTTCATAAAAATCAGAGATACTTCCGATGACCTGATTACAAATATTTTTCCAGCAGAAACCTCCCAAAGTGCAAAACAGCAAACATCAAAGTAAGAAAAATCAGTTTATTTTAGTGGCTCAAGTTACCAATACCCTCAATCCAAACCTGTCCTGGTGATAAGAGTAAATCCAAGTTACTGTCCTGAATTTTATCCAGGTGTTGAACTTGTCTCATCGAATTCACAACAGCAAGATGAACTAGACCACACCAGCAGAAAACTGCTTTCAACATCACTTGAGAAAAGTGGGAATGAGAGGAAACAGACAAAGCAGTTTTTGACAAGTTAAGAACAGTGTTTTCCTGGTGCAGACAAGGGCCTAAGAAGAAAACTTGTGTTAGCGAAACCAGTTTTAAAAAAACAAATTCCACTACCACAAATATTTGTATAGCGTGAAAGGAGCCTTTGCCAACTGAAACCCACACTATGCTTGGGATCTTGCACCTTTTATTGTTTTTCCAGTTGTCCCACCCATTTCTCCAAAACTAGGTTAGCTTTATCTAGAGCTCTTAAGTGTCTTGATGGAAATCAATAAGTTTCCCATTGCCAGGAAAAAAACGGTTATGTACCTGTTTGGCAACTGTTGTTCTTCAATATGTGGGAGATTTTTCCCATTAGGGCAGTGCATGTGCCCTCCACATGCTTGTGGTGCCAGCTAAAGGTATAATGGGTGGACCCACCCCAAGTTCCTTCACACCAGCAGCCCATATTTTTAACTCTGATGAAGGGGGAAAGGAGGGTGGGTCATGGAATGGACACATGCAACCTAACTCGAAGAAAAAGTTACCGAACAGGTATATCATTTTTTTTCTTCAAGTGTTTGAACATGTCCATTCCAGGTGACTGACAAACAGTATGAGATCAAGGAGGGTATCGGAGTCTAGCTGAACAAGGACTGCAACACAACTCTCACAAATCTAGCATCATCTTTTGAGGCTTGGGAGACAGCATAATGACTGGTGAAGATATGAATATATGACTTAGTTGCAGCCTTGCAAAGGTCATTGATGGCTAAGAAAGCAGCTGATGCTGCTTGCAGTGTGCTGAAACACTCTCAGGTGTTGAAACCTTAGTGATATCATAGCACAGTAGAATGCAGGAAGAAATCCGGGAGGAAATTCTCAGAGGAGAAATGAGTTGATCCTTCGTCTGTCAGCAAAGGAAATGAATAATCTAAACTGCTTAGGCCTGTCCAGATAACAAGCTAATGCCCTGTGGATGTCCAAAGTATGGAGTTTTTCCTCATCTTTATGAGAGTGAGGCTTTGGAAAAAAAGTTGATAAGTATATAGACTGATTTAGGTGAAAATCTAACACCACTTTAGTTAGAAATGTAGATATAAGCAGACCTTATCTTCATAGAACACCATATGGGAGATGGAGGATCAGCAACTAAAGCCTGAAATTCTGTTATGCTACTAGCCAAGTAATAGCCACCAGGAACACTACCTTCATTGAGAGATGAGAAAAAGAGCAACTAGTCATAGGCTTAAAGGGGGGGTGGGTCCCATTAAAGCTGACAAAACCAATTTTAGATCCTATGATGGTGTGGGATCTCTTACAGATGGGAAGAGCCTGTGCAACCCTTTCAAGAATCTAACAGTAGTAAGGTTAGAAAAAACAGATCTTCCTTCTACAGGAGAACGGAGTATAGAAACAGCCACCAACTGAACTCTCAGGGAACTGACAGAGTTCTTTTCTGTTAGGTGAAGCAGATAATCCAGAAGAAAATATATGGAAGCCTGCAAGGGAGGGGTACCCTTCCACTGGGACCACACAGAGAATCTTTTCCATTTCATGACCAGGGGCCTGTGAAAATTCCAATTTCATGAACTGTGCAGAAAATGCTAAATTAGTCCAATATCACTATTTTTCCAACAGCAGAGAGGTAGAAGTAGGCATTCATGCAAGCCAGTCTTGTAATTGGTATGGCTTGTAGTGTGTTCTGGGTAGCAGCGGCACTGGCTACTGCATGTCACATAAACCAGCTCCTGAGTCCCTCCTACAAATGCTGCCGCATGGTAGGAGCCACACAGAGCACAAGACTGGTGCACATGGATGCTCATTTCCAACTCGCTGCTGTTGGAAAAATCACAGCAGTTTGACAGTCATGCATATTCCACAAAATTCTATATGTTACCATTACACTGCCATGATTTTTTTTTAAAAAGCCATGATTTTCTCAGGGACTTATTCATGAAGTAAGTGCATTTGGTGGATGGCTTTCTGCTATTTAAAAGTATGTTTTTAACTTCAAAGGAACAGTCCATTTCCCGGGGAGTTAACCAAGGAGCATCCTCATACATCTAATAATTGTCAGGAACCAGGGAGGACATTTCAAAGACAGTGGCTTCATCAGGAGAAGGTGAGGAAGTGTTCAGTGACGACATCACAGTATCAACCTGTTCTGATGCCTGCTGAACCTTCTTACCACATGGGCCAGACTCTGGAGATTTAAGTTCCACCACTTACTGCGTACTGGGATTGGCACTAGATAGAGTGACTGGACAGAGACTTAGTAGTAGCAGGTGCGGAGATGAGGACCTAGTGTCTGGAGGGACACCCTGAGGATTCCAAAAAAGCCATTACTGGATCTGATATGGTATCAGAGACCAACCCCAAAGCATCCGATCCCTGGACCTGGTCCAGTGAGAATGCCAGTGCCAAGACCTCAACCAGCAGAAAGGGAAATCTGAGATCTCCTGTAATGAGTGTGTATGACCCCACCTCCAAATCCAGGGAGGAGTAAGTATAATCAGAAAGCCAAGGTGGTGCAGTACCAGGCGGTGCAGCAGGACGTTGGGAACCGGAAGGACAAGAAGTAGATAGTAACAGGGGAAGCATTAGCAGCTTTCTTGCTAATGGTACTGTTTGTCTTCCCTGCTAAACAGCACAGCTTTTGCCTACCATCAGTGTCATCAATTGGAAGGCAGAAGCTCGCTGTGAATTGGGGAGCAGAGGGGGATAAGAAGGGAAGCAAGGGGAGTTACTAAGACTGAGAGGGAGGGAGTAGCCAGCTCCAGGATGGGAAGGGGCATCCCAGCAATTCCTACTTCCATTCCTATGCCAGTTCCTCAGTGGCTGGCACACACACACCTGCCCTCACTAGACTGGGTATCTCTATCAGCAATGGCTGGTCGGACTGGGCTGGACTAGGGACTCACATGAGTGACCATCTCTTCCAGCCAGCCCTGTGTGGTCCCTGAACACTAACCCCAGCCAATGTAAAAGAAGAAGAGGAGAGGAGAGTTGTTGCTACCTGCTCCCTGGAGGCAAACCTGTTCCCATGCACCAACACATCCACTCCATACCCTCCTCCAGGTCCTACTCCGGCCTCTACAAGATAATATGGGAACAGAAAACATTGGGGGGCCAGAAACATACAGCAACCCTTGTACTAGTTCCATTATGTAGGTGCTAGCCCTCACCACCTCCCAGTTCCACCACAATGGTACCAAAAACTGCGTAGCCCCTCATGGTACCAAGGATGAAACAGGTACCAAAGCTTGCATTGCATGAATGGGCAATGCCGGTACCTCAATGTCTTGCAGCAAAGGTGAGTCTGGAACCAAGAAGCAAAGGAAGTCCCTCAGGTGTCATCTGTACCGAGAGGGAGAGATGCCCCAGAGCATTCACTGAAAATTAACTCAATGCTGAAGAAGATCTTAACAATGCAGCCAGTCTTCATGGTACCAAAGGTGGTGCCGGACACAACAACTCTACATTGCTAGTCAGGTATGTGATACCAGGGAGTTGCCTAGCTGGGCCTGGAGCTCTAACCTCAGTGCCCACCTTTTTCCTGTGTGATGTGGTTGCGGTCCTAGCCCTCATGAACAAAGAGGGCTTTTCTGGCTAGAAGAACGTGAACTGTCTGCTTTCTTCAGCCATTTGTGCAGCACCAGAGAAGGAGAGCGGCATCTTTTCTCTGACTCCCTCTGGCAAGGGGATACCGCCAAGTCTAGTAGTGCAGTCCTGCGTGGATTAAGTCTGAACCCCTGTGTACCGAGTGGCTGGGTTCCAAGTGGAGGCATAAAGCAATTTCCATGAAGAGATGTCGAAGTCTTACTTTCCTAGACTTAAACTCCTGCAGACAGGGCTCCTATATCTAATATGTCCTCCCCATAAACCCTAAACAATGGGAGTGAGGATTGCTGACTAGCATAGACTTGTTACAGCCAGAAAAGCACTTAAACCCTGGGGATTTAGGCATGCCCCAGGACAGAGCTTAAAAAGCTCCAACAAAAAGCTCCAAGCAAAAATTTGCCAAAAGCAAGTACACTAACTAAAACTATATATGATAATAATTTTTAGAAAACATTATTTCATAAGAGAAAGGGAAAGGTGTGATGAGCACACACATTCCAACTATCATGGTGAAAAGGAACGGAGGAGGACTGAGGCAGCTCTGCCCTTTGTACCTTAGGCTAACAGCGAAGCTCTGCTGAGAGCACATGCACCACCCTGACAGATATCAATATGGGGAAAAAATTTACTGCCTTGGGTGCACTGGCATGCGCACACACACACACACACACACACTTGAAGTGAAATGGACATGTGCAACCATTTGAAGAACTTGGATTTTCAATTTTGCTGTAAGTGTACAAAGTCTCATTTTTACAGTCTTTCAAATCCAACTATTACATCCTCAAATCTCTCTCTTATTATGGACGCCTTGATTTCTGTAGCTGTTTACACCTTCTATAAATTCCTCAGAGTAGATAATGGAAATACAAAACTGTGAGCCAAAGATGGTATCAACTGGTTTACAAGTGTTTTTTTCTCCCCATGCTCACTCTTACTTTTTGGCATTTGCTTTCCCAGAGCCTTACACACAGTTTATTGTTGATCCTGCATGATTCTCAGGTCACAAAAATCATGACATCCATATCTGTGGATTCCTCTTTCACTCCTTTTCTATTTTTAGGGGCTAGGGAAAGTGTTTAACCTAGGCCTGGTCTACACTGGAAAAATAAGTATGTCAGGGATGTGAAAAATCCACACCCATTAGCGGTGTAGACAGCGCTAGGTCGACAGAATTCTTCAGTCAACCTAACTACTGCCTCTTGGGGAGGTAGATTATCTATGCCAATGGGAGTTTTAACTGTAGACAAACTCCTAGTTTCACCAATTGTAACTGCATGGGTAAAGTCTGAAAAAGGCAAAATGTTATTAGGCAAACTGGAACCTGGCTAGGATGCTAGGACTGACAACTCTACTCTAGTGTAAAATACCAGGAATTCTTGGAGTAAGAGCTCCAAGGGAGGGTTACATACACACCTACTTGTCAGTCAGTACTTTTCAACAAGGTTCTGTAGGCAGGCATGCAACTCCTACAGCACAGCTCTATGCAAGGACATGAAGGTTAACTTCTGCTACACAGGATCCTAATTCTCCATCCTGGGTCCAAAAAGCCATTTGTGGGATTCTCCAGGTGGTGGGGGAGAAGAAAGAATGAACCTTTGACTGGAAAGCATATCCCAAAACAGCCTATTATTTATGGTGGCTAGGTTATCTAAAAGGAGACTGCACCTGTATGATTAGAAACTCACACCTCAGAGAATCCAGACAAATGAAGAGACTGATATATGGAGACTAGTATATCCAGATATATGGAGGCTCACTGGATGCACATACACAGCACTTCTGAAGGTTAACTTTTATCAAGATAATTATGAACATCTGTACTTACAGGCCTTCTTCTTTGATTATCTCCAGTAGCACTGTGTGTGTTGTCTTGGACTTGCGTTTCTCATCAACTGGAAGACAAAAGACAGATCTAATTTTTAGCACTTTAAAAGTTGAAAGTACTCATCATCAACTCCTTATTCCTCTACTCCTCTAAATCTGCCAATTTCGCCTTCTCCATAAATGACTCAGTTTTCTCCCAGCTCCCTAGCCACCATTGAAAGCATCTCTCTCTTTCCACTTGATATTTAAGGTTTCCTGCCTCCTTATTTGTTTCCTCCCCAACAACACTAAGGGCAGGTCTACACTATGGGGCTCAGTCCATCTAAGTTATGCAACTCCAATTACATGAATAATGTAGCTTAGGTCGACCTTTCGCGGTGTCTACACCGCACTGGGTCGATGGGAGAAACTCTCCTGTCAACTTAGCTTATGCTTCTTGTTCCGGTGGAATACCGGAGTCGACAGGAAAGCAATCGGCAGTCGATTTAGCGGGTCTTCACTAGACTCGCTAAATCAACTCCCGTGGATCGATTGCCGCACATCGATCCCCTGGTAAGTGGAGAGAAGCCCTGAGATGTGCCCGTGGGCAGCTGCCCCTTAACTTTTGTTAATTCCTGATCTGATAATTGGACCATGAATCAGAGGTGGGACTCCCTTCCCTGTTTCACTGTCAAAAACATTCCCTGACCCCCAGATCCGAATAAACCTGCCTCTTACAGCCAGTTTACAGGTGACCATGCATTGGGAAAAAGCCTCGTTTTCTAAGAGCTGAGGACTGCTGTACAGTATTATGGGGCTAATTCAAGCATACATCTCTGAATATTTGTCAAATGATCTCATCCCAGTTCTTAATAAAGCTTTAGCCTAATATCAGATGCCTTCTGGTTCTGTAGCTTATAAGTAGGAAATACTCAGGCTTGACTACCATGGGCTGTTCAGGAGTTAAAGTTTAATTTTGGGAAACATGGGATATTTGTACTCCCAATTTCGCTCTCACTCTGTGCTTTTAAATTCCCCTATGGCACAATGCCTTAGGCAAGAACGTGCTTGTTTTTCTCCTGCACATAGTGTTGTTCCCATGGGCTGGCAAGACCAGTCTGCACTTAAAACGCTGAATCAGCACAGCTACTATAGCACTTTAACGAAGATGCTCTAAGCTGACAGGAGAGACTGTTCTCCCATTGGTGTAGTTAATCCACTTCCCTGAGAAGCGATAGTCAGTGGGAGAAGCAGTGCTGGCTACACGGGGGGTTAGGTCAATATAACTACTTCAGGTTTCAGAGTAGCAGCCGTTTTAGTCTGTATCCGCAAAAAGAAAAGGAGGACTTGTGGCACCTTAGAGACTAACAAATTTATTTGAGCTCAAATAAATGCTCAAATAAATGTGTTAGTCTCTAAGGTGCCATAACTACTTCACCCATTTTTCACACTCCTGAGCAACGAAGTTATTCCAAGATAGGTCTGTAGTGTAGAGCAGACTTTAGACATTCAAATGTGAGCCATAAGTCACACAGCAATGACTTTTCAGCTAATTAAAGAGTCAGTCAGTGCTGTTCCTAAAGGTTTAATCAGCCTCAACTAGAAGAATGTTGCTGGTGATGAGGAAGGAACAAAAGGAAAGATCCTTGTTTACACAGAGGAGATCCCTATGATGGGGGTGTGCCAGGTCTCGCAGTCCTAACATACTCTGCCTCAGGAAAGGAGCAGTGAAAGTGGGTCCCGCAGGGCTGCCTAGAAAGGCTGCAGGGAAGCAGCCAATCAGAGTGCAGCAGGCTCAGCTAAAAAGAGCTGCAGGGCCTGAGCAGGTCGGTTGCTAGCTGGGACCAGAAGGGTGAGGAAGGACAAAGAGACTCTCTCTAGGAAGGAGGCCTGGGAAAGACACTGCTCAAGCAGGGATAAGACAGAGAGAACCCAAAAACTGTAACCCAAAAGTAATGGGCGAAGGTGATGGGACTCAGTGGGAAGCAACCCAGGGAATACAGCAGCAGCAACTATTAATGAAAGCAGTACAAGGCTGCTGTTTATAGGGTCCCTGACTTGGGACCTGGAGTAGTGGGCGGGCCTGGTTCCCTGGGGAAGTGGCCTAAGCCCTGAGAAGGGTTCAGAGAAGCTGCGAATGGGTGACAGGCAATGGATCACTTGATAATTACCTGTTTTGTTCATTCCCTATGGGGCACATGACATTGGCCACCACTGGAAGACAGGATACTGGGCTAGATGGACCTTTGGTCCGACCCAGTATGGCCGTTCTTATGAGATGGGGCTGAAGACCCTGGAGAGAGCCAACCATTAGTGGGACTTTGTTACTCCAGAAGGGGACTGAATTTAAGAGATGATGTGGCTGGACAGCTGGGGCAGCAAGAACAAAAAGTCAAAGTCTTGAGGGTGAAAGCCCTGGGGGCAGTGCTCTACAACAGGGCAGAAATGAACTTAAAGCCAGCCCAGAAAGGGGATGAGATCTCTGCAAAGAGGCAGGGTTAAAGACACTAATAAGAGCACTGTGATATGCCCTGCTGGATGCTTGATACCCCAGAAGGTGGTCATCCATTTTAGACTGTGACGTGAACAGAGGGCTGAGCCACTGAAGACCTGCCCAGCAACAGCTGACAGGGCAACAGGAGCAGAAAAAGAGTGCAGGATGATACCCAGGTGACAGGAGGCACTCACAAGAGGTGAGTGCACCCCATCACAATCCCCATGCAACTACTCCCAGAAGTGCCGAGGCTAAAAGGAAATGGAAACAAAGACAGGAGCCACAAAGACACAGGTGTTTAGACACTTACCCTGAAGTCTAAGTCTAGCTGTATCCAAAGGAAAAAATACTGTCATTGCAGTCACACTGCCCTGAAAAATGATAAAACAGTTAATTAGCAATTTTTTGTATATCTGTCTGTAATGAGTTACATACACAATCATTACAAGTTTCTCAGCAAAATTACTCCACATAAACAAGAACTAAACTATATTCTTTGTTAAAAACTGCTTAACAATGACCTTTTGTTTACCCCGTAAATTCTGTTCCCACCCAAAATCAAAATTTGCTGAATAAAGGTGAAGAGTAATATGCATAACAAAATTTAACAGAAAAAGAAAATGAACTCTATAGATACCAATGACAACTGGAAACTTTTGGTCACAGGGTTAGAGAAAAGGCTTTCAAATGTGATTAAATAAGTTGTAAATAAACTGAAATGATTGCAAAGCTCTCCTTTAGCATAAAAGTTTTTAGAAGTCTGATGTCAGTAAGCAGATAAAAGAGCACTAGTTTGTTTCTCCATTCCCACTTCTGCCCCACCTATACAAGTCTGATAAAAGGTTATGCTGGAAGGAGGAATGTTAAAATTACATGGCATTTATCCCTCTAAATTAGGATCAAAACAGTGCCCTAGAGCACAATACAAGGGACCATTGTTATGAGAGGTGCTGCCTTCTAAATGAGACAAAATAGCGGTTCTCATGCTCATTAAAAATTCAGATGCAGTTTTTGCAAGTCAATCCCAGTGCTTAGCCAAATTCCAATTTAGGAAATTACAGTCTGCTTTCATAAAATTCACCCCGTAGTTTTAATTAGATATAGAGGGTGAAATCTTGGCCAATATTCTCTACTTCTTGTGCAGCACAGCCGTTGGATTCTGTAAACACAGGCACTGGCTTCTAATTTTCCCCGGGGGTGCTAAACCCCGGCTCAGCCCAGGCCCCACCCCCACTCCACCTCTGCCCCCACCCCCACCCTGGGAGGGAGGGAGAGGAGTTGATCAGCACGGGGGCAGGCAGTGGGCAGGAGGAGGGGGGCTTGACTGCCGCTGCAGGCTAAGCACCTACTAATTTTTCTCTGTGGGTGCTCCACCCCTGGAGCACCCACAGAGTCGGCATCCATGCTTGTAAATATGGCAGTATGGCTCCTCCCTCCACAACTTCCACTATTTGCCTCACCACCCTGTTTAATGGTTTCAGAGTGGTAGCCGTGTTAGTCTGTATCAGCAAAAACAACAAGGAGTCCTTGTGGCACTTTGTTGGTCTCTAAAGTGCCACAAGGACTCTTTGTTGTTTTTGCCCTGTTGACTCTTATTTTTAAGACTGTAAGCTCTTTAAAATGGAGCAGGCTTTTACTGTACAGCACCTGGCACAATGGGGCCCCAACCTGGTTGAGCCTCCAGGCACTACTGTAATACTAAGACTCATAAAGTGGCCTGTAAGTATCTTCTTCTGAAGCTTCAGCCTCATCGCTCATAGATGATTTGTAAACAATGAGGCAACAAGGAAGAAAGCAGAAATTCCCACCTGAATCCAAGTGATGGCAACAGTGATTTTTTTATTATTATTTTATTTCTATAATGTGGCTCTGAGGTAAGCCAAGACTTTTTTTTTTTGCCTTGTGTGAAAGAGTTGGCATGTCTGGATTATTCTGTGCACTCAATTTTGTATTATATGCTGAACTTCCTTGATTATCCACATCATCAGCATGATCGGTGGATTTGCAGCTTTCCAGGGGATGTCTACACTACAGGTGCTACAGCAGCACACCTGCAGCGCTACTACTATCCTGTGGTAATGTAGACAATACAGCAACAGAAGGAGTTTTTCTGTTGCAGTAGTAAATCCACCCCCTCAAGAGGCGGTGGCTATGTCAATGGAAGAATTCTTCTGTCAACCTAGCTGCGTCTACAGTGGGAGATACGTAAACCTAACTATGTTGCACAGGGCATGAAATATTTCACAGCCCTGAGCAACAAAGCTAAGTTGGCTTACATTTTAGGTGTAGGCTAGGCCTTACTCTGGACACAATGGCGAAACTAGAGAGGGACTGTATTTTAAGGGTGTTCCTTCTCTGAGCGGGGGGGCGTCACATGTAAGCTGGAGGTGTAGAGGAGGGAGAGAGAGAGGAGGAGGGACTCTGACCAGCCTGAACACTAGCAGACCTCACTTCTCGAAAGGGTGAGATCAGACTAGGATGGGGGTGAATCTCAGAACTTTTCTTATACTGTAAATTTCTGTAACTCTGCACATTCTTAAGAGTAAAATGACTATAGTTAAGAGATTACTTTACTAAACGTCTATGTTCCTTGCTTTCATACCACATTGTCCAAACAGGGGTTAAACAAAAAGCTAGGGTTGCCCACAGCTGGGTGGAACTCTGTCTGTGTGTATATGCAATTAGGAGGTCTGGGACACTGATTTGGGGATTTAGAGTAGCTAGACTGCAGGTCCCAAGGAAGTACTCAGACAAGAGGCCTGATCCTGGGAGTGCACCCTAGAAACCCAAAGCTAGACTCCGTGACTAGACTCTACCCAGACTCAGTTGGCTTAAAAGCACATGGGTCCCAGCAGCTGGGTCCACTTACAATAGACTGGTGACTGTACAGAGGAGGCACTGGGCCAGCTGCAACACCTTCCTTCACAGCAATTGCAAAATCTTGACTAGCAAGTCTGTTTCTGTAAATGGACAGCTTGGTCAATCTGAATTGCTTCCAGTCAGTTCCTGAGTAGAGAGCCTCCTGGTATGAGGAAGTTTTTTTTCTGATTTGTGCAAACAAAACTGAGCAAATTCAGTTGGAATTGTCTAATTCCATGGAACAGAGCAAGTTATTAAAGGGGAGACATGCCCTATCTTCTCCGCTCAAATTCCAGCTAATGTAGCTCATTGAAAGCATAAGAGCACTGGGCTCGAGTCTTTTGTTGGTAGAGATTGTGTAACACCCTTTTGGGGAAGGGCAACTGACCAGGACATGTGCGGTCAGAACTAGTGGTCAGAGCAGGAGTCAGTCCGAGTCCGGTACCGGGAAATCAGAGTCTGTGAGAGGCCAGAAGGCAGAGTCAAGTATCAGGAGGCAGGCAGGGTCAGAAGCCAGAGTACAGTGTCTCTTGCGAGCAGGGTCTGGAGCAGAGGCAGGCAGTCTATGTTGTTGATCACACAGCTCCCCTTCAGGGCTTCCTGTTTTATATTTTGCTATTGGCCAATCAAGGAGTTGTCTGAGGCCGCCACTCTGGTCCTGCTGGGTGGTACTTCCTGCCAAGCTGAGCCCCATAGGGTCCTCAAGTTGGAGCACAGCCTAAGCCTCTTGTGGTGATTGTAGAGGCATCAGTAGCCCTGAACCCCGCAGATACCAGCCTTGCAGGTTGTAACATCATCCCCGTTTACAGGCCCCCCTTCAAGGTGGTGTCAGTCCACGCTTGTCAGGGCTAGTTTTGTGGAATTTCTCCACCAGGTCAGGAGCATGGACATGGGAGGCAGGCTCCCAAGCACATTTTTCAGGGTCGTAGCCTTCCCAATCCAATGGAGAGCACAGACAGCCACGTATCTGTCGGGAACTGAGGATGCCGTGCACTTCGTATTCATCGTGACCCTGGATTTCGAGTGGTTGAGATAGCAGTGTGGTTTGGCTGGGGGGGTAGTTCTCATTATAGGGCTTCAGAAAGGAGACATGGAAAACTGGGTGTATTTTGAGAGACTGGGGAAGCTGGAATTTGAAGATAAATTGGTTAATCTGTTGGCATATCAGGAAAGGTCCCAGGAACTGGTGGTCCAATTTGCAGGAGGATCGCCTGGTCTGGAGGTGTTTGATGGCAAGCCACATCTTTTGGTCTACCATAAATACTGGAGCTTCTTGTCATCAACAATCTGCATGCCGCTTGTAGACCTCCTTCGCCTCTTCAAGGTGGTTCTTGAGCTTTTCCTGAATGAGATGGATCTGTTGGAACCCATCAGTGGCAGTGGGATTCGGAGAGATTGCTGGTAACACCAGGTGGAAATGGGGATGAAATCTGTATTTAGCGAAGAAGGAGCTCCGACCCTTAGAGGCACAGTCAGCGTTGTTTTAAGAAAACTACATATGGCAGGAGTGTGGACTTGGTTCACCCATTTAGTCTGCATTTTTCTTTTCAAACACACCCAGAAAGTTTGAATGGAGGTTGTTCGCAACTCTGAAATGTTTGTAACTCGGAACAAAAAGTTATGGTTGTTCTTTCAAAAGTTTACAACTGAATATTGACTTAATACAGCTTTGAAACTTTACTACGCAGAAGAAAAATGCTGCTTTCCTTTTTTTTAGTAGTTTAAATTTAATACAGTACTGTACTTGTTTTTTCTTTTTTTTTGGTCTCTGCTGCTGCCTGAGTACTTCCAGTTCCAAATGAGATGCGTGGTTGACTGGTCAGTTCGTAACTCTGGTGTTCGTAACTCTGAGGTTCTACTGTACTTGTCAAGGAGGCTGAGGTTCTTGCCTGGGGCCATTCCTGTCTGGCTAGCCCCCACTGTCAAGAGTTCTGCTTCCAAGGGTCTCCTTCCATCCTGGGGCCCCAGGTGCAGGTCAGCTGGGGGTTGGTTGCTTTGTTGGAGGCACACTTTTTGAAAGTATTCAGGGAAGCTAATTTTCCTCTGCCACCTGTAGATACATGGGTCATGCCACTCCAACCAAGGAATGCCAAAGAATGGGGACCTGATCACATTGAGGCATACTGTTTCTCAGTGCTTCTCTACTATGGCCTCTAGTGGGACAGCCTCTTGGATTACTGGTCCCGATGATAGGGGCAACCCAACAATCATCTCCAAAAGGTCCAGTGTGGGTTTCAGCCGCAAGGAGATCTGGAGGGTTTGGACTTCTTCAGCATCTATAAAGTTGGCAGCGGCCCTAGTCTATCATTGCTAACTGTGGGGGAGATCTGCTGTGCCTGCTCCAAAACCTGCAACTGCAGTAGCAACTGGAAGTGCAGGGAGGCACCATAGTTCCCAGGTCGGGTTCTCCTTGAGAACAGGGAAAGGGGGTGGTGGTGGTTATGGAGCATGGAGCTCTGGTGGTACCCACGCTGTGCTCCCCTACTGGGCCTGGGCTGGTCCGTTTCCCAAGTTCTTCTATGCTGGGCAGGAGGCAAGGGCATGTACTGATCCCCTGCACTAAAAACAGAGGTTCAATTGTCATTGACGCTCTCTCTCTCTCTCTTCAGGGTCAGACATTGGCAACCCAGATTGATCTGCATGGGTTCAGGACTCTATTCAACAAGCCTTGGCATGGAGGGCAGGTAGCGGGGACTGTTGGGCCACCTCTCCTTTCCTCGTTCCATTCATGCAGCCAAGAGTCAATGTGCAGGGCAAGGTCTAGAAAGGTGCCTAAGTAGATGGGGTTTTCAATGCAGGTTAGTTCACCTTTTACCTCATCATTGAGCCCCCAGCGGAATTGGTAAAGTTGGGCTGCCTCATTCCATTCAACATCAGCCACAAGTCATCAGAAATGGGTAGGCTAGGAGGTGGCTGGCCATTGCCCTGGCCACGTTTCCAGAGGATAGCCCCTGCTGCACAGATGTGAAGCAGGTCTTTGAAGATGGTCACAAAGGCTTGCAGGAAGGCATCCCAGTCAGAGAGCACAGGGCTGTTCTGCTCCAACACTGGGGAGGCCCAGTTAAGTGCTTTACTGTTGACTAGGCTGACTACTGTTCCCACCTTAGTCCAGTCTATGAGGTACACTTGGGGGCAGAGCAGGATGAGCAGCCGGCATTGGTTCAGGAAACCCCAGAATTTCTAATGATCCTCACTGAACCATTCAGGCAGTGGCACTGCGGGAGCTGGTTCAGGGAATGCATGGTCTGTTTGGGCACATAAGGTCATTCCTTCTTTCTGTGAGCATGCGTGAAGGGTTCATGTAGCGTTCATGCACCTGGAAACATTCAGGGCACACCCTGACTGTTGTGTAGGACCGATGCACACACTGCTCCATCCAAGGACATGGACCATGGGAAGTCAACTAAAGGACATGAACCGTGGGAAGCTTCCTTGGACTGGGCTCAAGGCCTGAGAACAAGGATTGTAGTAGATAGAGGCTGGTAAATAAGAATATTAATCAAAGTCATATTATTTCCTTTGTTGATGCCTTTTGCGGTTGGAGTATGTAATGCGCAGGGGGGAGAGAAATAAAAGAGAGGTGGAAAAGCTGACAGGGGCAATCCTGCCAGCCTGCTTTCTTGCCTAAAGCCGTGTCCTGTCTTGTATTGAACCGCACACATGCGAGCTGCTTGGTTAGGCGTTGTACTTTGGCAGTGAGCTGCGCCACCTGAGCCTGTGACTGGACTGGTTGCTCATGCAGGACCTATGCTTTGGCTATGTCTACACTACGAAATTAGGTCGAATTTATAGAAGTCAGTTTTTTAGAAATTGGTTTTATATATTCGAGTGTGTATGTCCCCACAGAAAATGCTCTAAGTGCATTAAGTGAATTAACTCAGGGGAGTTCTTCCACAGTACCGAGGCTAGAGTCGACTTCCGGAGTGTTGCACTGTGGGTAGCTGTCCCACAGTTCCCGCAGTCTCCGCTGCCCATTGGAATTCTGGGTTGAGATCCCAATGCCTGATGGGATCATTGTCGCGGGTGGTTCTGGGTACATATCGTCAGGCCCCCCTTCCCTCCCTCCCTCCGTGAAAGCAAGGGCAGACAATCGTTTCACGCCTTTTTTCCTGAGTTACCTGTGCAGACGCCATACCACGGCAAGCATGGAGCCCGCTCAGGTAACCGTCACCGTATGTCTCCTGGGTGCTAGCAGACGCGGTACTGCATTACTACACAGTAGCAGCAAACCACGGTGCAATAGGACTGGTAGCCATCATCGTCATGTCCGAGGTGCTCCTGGCCATATCGGAGCACCTGGGCACACATGGGCGCAGGGATTAAATTTGGAGTGACTTGATCAAGTCATTCTCTTTAGTCCTGCAGTCAGTCCTATTGAACCATCTTATGGTGAGCAGGCAGGCGATATGGATTGCTAGCAGTTGTATTGTACCATCTTCTGCCAGGCAGGCAAGAGATGAGGATGGCTAGCAGTCGTACTGTACCATCTTCTGCCGAGCAGCCCTGAGATGTGGATGGCATGCAGTCCTTCTGCACCGTCTGCTGCCAGCCAAAGATGTAAAAGATAGATGGAGTGTATCAAAACAAGAAATAGACCAGATTTGTTTTGTACTCATTTGCTTCCCCCTCTCCCCCGTCTAGGGGACTCATTCCTCTAGGTCACAATGCAGTCACTCAGGGAAGGCGCAGCGAGGTAAATCTAGCCATGTATCAATCAGAGGCCAGACTAACCTCCTTATTCCAATGAGAACAATAACTTAGGTGCACCATTTCTTATTGGAACCCTCCGTGAAGTCCTGCCTGAAATACTCCTTGACGTAAAGCCACCCCCTTTGTTGATTTTAGCTCCCTGAAGCCAACCCTGTAAGTCATGTCGTCAGTCGCCCCTCCCTCCGTCAGAGCAACGGCAGACAATCGTTCCGTGCCTTTTTTCTGAGCGGACGCCATACCAAGGGAAGCATGGAGGCCGCTCAGCTCACTTTGGCAATTAGGAGCACACTAAACACCACACGCATTATCCAGCAGTATATGCAGCACCAGAACCTGGCAGAGCGATACCGGGCGAGGAGGCGATGTCAGCACGGTCACGTGAGTGATCAGGACATGGACACAGATTTCTCTGAAAGCATGGGCCCTGCCAATGCATGCATCATGGTGCTAATGGGGCAGGTTCATGCTGTGGAACGCTGATTCTGGGCTCGGGAAACAAGCACAGACTGGTGGGACCGCATAGTGTTGCAGGTCTGGGACGATTCCCAGTGGCTGCGAAACTTTTGCATGCGAAAGGGCACTTTCATGGAACTTTGTGACTTGCTTTCCCCTGCCCTGAAGCACATGAATACCAAGATGAGAGCAGCCCTCACAATTGAGAAGCGAGTGGCGATAGCCCTGTGGAAGCTTGCAACGCCAGACAGCTACCAGTCAGTTAGGAATCAATTTGGAGTGGGCAAATCTACTGTGGGGGCTGCTGTGATGCAAGTAGCCCACGCAATCAAAGATCTGCTGATATCAAGGGTAGTGACCCTGAGAAATGTGCAGGTCATAGTGGATGGCTTTGCTGCAATGGGATTCCCTAACTGTGGTGGGGCCATAGACGGAACCCATATCCCTATCTTGGCACAGGAGCACCAAGCCGCCGAGTACATAAACCGCAAGGGGTACTTTTCAATAGTCCTGCAAGCTCTGGTGGATCACAAGGGACGTTTCACCAACATCAACATGGGATGGCTGGGAAAGGTACATGACGCTCGCGTCTTCAGGAACTCTGGTCTGTTTCAAAAGCTGCAGGAAGGGACTTTATTCCCAGACCAGAAAATAACTGTTGGGGATGTTGAAATGCCTATAGTTATCCTTGGGGACCCAGCCTACCCCTTAATGCCATGAAGCCATACACAGGCAGCCTGGACAGTAGTCAGGAGCTGTTCAACTACAAGCTGAGCAAGTGCAGAATGGTGGTAGAATGTGCATTTGGACGTTTAAAGGCGCGCTGGCGCAGTTTACTGACTCGCTTAGACCTCAGCGAAACCAATATTCCCATGTTATTACTGCTTGCTGTGTGCTCCACAATATCTATGAGAGTAAGGGGGAGACATTTATGGTGGGGTGGGAGGTTGAGGCAAATCGCCTGGCTGCTGATTACACGCAGCCAGACACCAGGGCAGTTAGAAGAGCACAGGAGGGCGCGGTACGCATCAGAGAAGTTTTGAAAACCAGTTTCATGACTGGCCAGGCTACGGTGTGAAAGTTCTGTTTGTTTCTCCTTGATGAAACCCCCCGCCCCTAGGTTCACTCTACTTTCCTGTAAGCTAACCACCCTCCCCTCCTCCCTTCGATCACCGCTTGCAGAGGCAATAAAGTCATTGTTGCTTCACATTCATGCATTCTTTATTCATTCATCACACAAATAGGGGGATGACTACCAAGGTAGCACAGGAGGGGTGGTGGAGGAGGGGGAAAATGCCACACAGCACTTTAAGCACAGCACTTCAAAAGTTTACAACTTTAAAATTTATTGAATGCCAGCCTTCTTTTTTTTGGGCAATCCTCTGTGGCTGAGTGGCTGGTTGGCCAGTGGCCCCCCCACCGCGTTCTTGGGCATCTGGGTATGGAGGCTATGGAACTTGGGGAGGAGGGCGGTTGGTTACACAGGGGCTGTAGTGGCAGTCTGTGCTCCAGCTGCCTTTGCTGCAGCTCAACCATACACTGGAGCATACTGGTTTGATCCTCCAGCAGCCTCAGCACTGAATCCTGCCTCCTCTCATCACGCTGCCGCCACCTTTCAGCTTCAGCCCTGTCTTCAGCCCACCACTTACTCTCTTCAGCCCACCACCTCTCCTCCTGGTCATTTTGTGCTTTCCTGCACTCTGACATAATTTGCCTCCACGCATTCGTCTGTGCTCTGTCAGTGTGGGAGGACAGCATGAGCTCGGAGAACATTTCATCACAAGTGCGTTTTTTTTTCTTTCTAATCTTCACTAGCCTCTGGGAAGGAGAAGATCCTGTGATCATTGAAACACATGCAGCTGGTGGAGAAAAAAAAAGGGACAGTGGTATTTAAAAAGACACATTTTATAAAACAGTGGCTACACTCTTTCAGGGTAAACATTGCTGTTAACATTACATACATAGCACATGTGCTTTCGTTACAAGGTCACATTTTGCCTCCCCCCACCACGTGGCTACCCCCTCAACCCTCCCTCCTCCCTGTGGCTAACAGCGGGGAACATTTCTGTTCAGGCGCAGGCAAACAGCCCAGCAGGAACGGGCTCCTATGAGTGTCCCCTGAAGAAAAGCACCCTATTTCAACCAGGTGACATGAATGATATCTCACTCTCCTGAGGATAACACAGAGAGATAAAGAACAGATGTTGTTTGAACGCCAGCAAACATACACTGCAATGCTTTGTTCTACAATGATTCCCGAGTACGTGTTACTGGCCTGGAGTGGTGACATGTCCTACCGTGGTGGATGGAATAAGGCTGCCCTCCCCAGAAACCTTTTGCAAAGGTTTTGGGAGTACATCCAGGAGAGCCACGAATGCCAGGGCAAATTAATCCTTTCACATGCTTGCTTTTAAGCCATGTATGGTAATTTTAAAAGGTACACTCACCGGAGGTCCCTTCTCCGCATGCTGGGTCCAGGAGGCAGCCTTGGGTGGGTTCGGGGGGTACTGGCTCCAGGTCCAGGGTGAGAAACGGTTCCTGGCTGTCGGGAAAACCGGTTTCTCCGCTTGCTTGCTGTGAGCGATCTACAACCTCATCATCATCCTCATCTTCTTCGCCCCCAAAACCTGCTTCCGTGTTGCCTCCATCTCCATTGAAGGAGTCAAACAACACGGCTGGGGTAGTGGTGGCTGAACCCCCTAAAATGGCATGCAGCTCATCATAGAAGCGGCATGTTTGGGGCTCTGACCCGGAGCGGCCGTTCGCCCCTCTGGTTTTCTGGTAGGCTTGCCTCAGCTCCTTAAATTTCACGCAGCACTTCTTCAGGTCCCTGTTATGGCCTCTGTCCTTCATGCCCTGGGAGATTTTCACAAAGGTTTTGGCATTTCGAAAACTGGAATGGAGTTCTGATAGCATGGATTCCTCTCCCCATACAGCGATCAGATCCCGTACCTCCCGTTCAGTCCATGCTGGAGCTGTTTTGCGATTCTGGGACTCCATCATGGTCACCTCTGCGGATGAGCTCTGCATGGTCACCTGCAGTTTGCCACGCTGGCCAAACAGGAAATGAGATTCAAAAGTTCGCGGTTCTTTTCCTGTCTACCTGGCCAGTGCATCTGAGTTGAGAGTGCTGTCTAGAGCGGTCACAATGAAGCACTCTGGGATAGCTCCCGGAGGCCAATACCGTCAAATTGTGTCCACAGTACCCCAAATTTGACCCGGCAAGGCCGATTTAAGCGCTAATCCACTTGTCAGGGGTGGAATAAGGAAACTGATTTTAAGAGCCCTTTAAGTCGAAATAAAGGGCTTCATCGTGTGGACGGGTGCAGGTTTACATCGATTTAACGCTACTAAATTCGACCTAAAGTCCTAGTGTAGACCAGGGCTTTGAGTGCACACTGCGTAGCATGGGTCTGTAGTGCAAGGTTCTCTGCCTCCAGATAGGCAACTGGGCCTTGGGCCCTCAGGGACCCATGGTTGGACGGCTTGCCCCTTCTATCATCTCTGGAGGAGATAGATGCATTTGCGGGGGGAGGAAGGGGAGGGCAAGAGGGTCTGAGTAAACTGTCATGATCAGGATGTGGGTGGTCAGAGCAGGAGTCAGGCATCAGGAGGTCACAGTCCAGGATAGACAAGAGTGGAAACCAAGAGGCAGGTGTCAAAAGGCAGGCAGGGTCAGGTTACCGGGAAGTCAAAATCCATGACAGGCCAGAGGGCAAACCAAGATTCAGGCATCAGGAGGCAGGCAGGGTCACGGGTATGGTCTGGAGCAGAGACAGGCAGGCAATCTGTGGCTCACACAGCTCCCCTTCATGGCTTCCTGGTTTACATACTGGTTTTGGCCAATCAGGGAACTGTCTGAGGCCACTACTCCAGTCGTGCTGGGAGGTTCTTCCGGCCAAGCCCAGCGACACAGGGTCCTTCTGTGGGAGCCCATCTCTTCCTGTGATGCAGGGGCATCAGTGGCCCCAAAATCCCACAGTCCCAAGTTCCAATCCTGCAGGTACTAACAGCCTGATTCAAAAAAAGCTTTTGTATGACTTGTGCTCAAGAAACTATTTAATGCAAAAAAAAGTCAATGCAAAGTTAAAATCACCCTGTGGTCACTTGTGGTCTTCCAGAACATCAAGTTTGGCAAAACTCAAACTTCTGAAAACCAGGAAATAGAGTTAAGGAAACACCCATGCAACCCATACTCTGCCACCCTGGAGTTGGCAAGAAAGACTGGGAATTATCTGCATGTATTCCAGTTGCTTTCAGTGGTTTTGTTATAACTAACTGTACTGAATAATGGAAGCAGTAAGTGGGAAAGGTTAGCAGAAGCATGTTTGTGATATGAGATCTGGGGATTAATTTTGAGGAACTGTTACAGAGCTGTTATGATATGAGGTGATCCGAGTCTGAGTCCTCACATGCGTGTAATCAAAGGAGAGAGATGCATATGTATCTTGAGAATTGTGTAGGTTGTGTCAGTAGCAGGCCACTGGGGTCTTCTTGCCATGTGCACTGTCAGTAGTGAGGTGGTACATGAGAACAGTCTGTAGATTTAACGATAGGCTTAAAGGGTATTCTGTGAGTGTGAATGGGTTGTAAAAGAGTATGAAGTGGTTGTTAAATTTTAGAAGTGTGATACTCTGTAAAGGAAATAGGCTCAATGTTTGAGCATAGGGCTAGTGCAAGTAGCACCTGTCAATTACAGCGAAGAGTGGGAATGTGTGTACTTGGGCATTGCTCAAAGAAGGCAGAGTTAAGGTTGTGTGGGCATTTACCTTAACTCTGTAATTGTTGGTGTTACACCCTGACACCCCAATATTCACCACTGTCATGTAATTAGGATATGTCTTTTACAAAGTATGCCTTGTGAGGTGTCATTCTAAAAGTCTTGATCTGCTGGACAGGAATATCTTGTTGGCTTGTATGTGCTATCATCATGTGTGAAGTTATGAAATTTGGGTATGTTTGTGTTGCTGAAACATGTCCTGAGGTTGAAAACACACACAAGCAGCCTTTCAGGTAAGATAGTAAAAAAGCCAAACAATGTTAATGGCTTATTGAGGAAACGCACACAAGCACAAGGATTATCCCAGGAACTGTGTACAACAGAAACCTCTCAGAGACAGCACTACACAATGGGAACCAGGTCACAACAAAAGACCTTTCCAGCAAGTGGGGAGAGGATATAAAAGGGGGGAAATGACATGATGGGGGGTAACCTCACTCTCCCTATAACAACACACCTGGAAACACCTGAGGAACTGTGGGAAGTGATGGTCCCAGGCTAGAAGGATTTTTAGCCTATGCATGAAAACCTGGGAAAGCCAAGGCAACTTGTGCCTTAAGAATCTGCCAGCCTGTTTATCACACAGGGTGAGAATTTGCTAATTTATATCTTACCCATCTAGTGTGTTAAGCTTTTAGTTTGCAGTTTTTGTTTATTTACTAAGGTAATCTACTTTAATCTGTTTGCTATCACTTATAATTACTTACAATTTATCTTTTGTAGTTAATAAACTTATTTCTTGTTTATAACAACCCAGTCTGTGCAATTCATATCTGGGGGGGCAAAAGCTGCGCACATCTCTCTCCACATTGAGGGAGAGAGCAAATTTTTATGACCTTGCGCTGGGCAGATCTTCCTATACAGTGCAAACAGTATTTTGGATTTATCTCCCAAAAGGTGTGTGCACGTGAGTCCTCTCCCACAGAGCTGACTTCAATCTGTGTCTGCAGCTGGATGTGGCCCTACCTGTATATATACATATGTGTGTGTGTATGTGTGTGTGCTGCAAGAGGCTGAACAGCCTAATTCAGCAAAACAGGGAGAGGAAATCCAGGATGGTGGAGCAGGCAAGGCTCAGTGAAACCTCAGTGTATCAGGTGGCGTCCTGGACGGGGGTGGGGGGGTTTCAACCTGTTACACTTGGTTTTCAGAATTTTGAGTTTTGCTGAACTGGATGTTCTGAAAGAGCACAAGTTACCACTTTTTAACTTTGCATGAATGAAGTTTTTTTTGCCAGTTAATTTCCTAGTTTTTTAAAGAGAAAAATGTTTGTTCGTAGGCGTTAGAGGTCATTCAGGTAGTTGTAGTTCTCATCGAAGTTTGCACTTGATATGCTGCAGTGGCTAAGTAGTAATGAAAAGACAGTTTTTTTTATATAGTGTTTTTCATCAGTAGGTCTCAAAGTACTTTACATAATTATTCCCATTTTACAGATGGGAAAGTGAGGCACAGAGAGGTGAAGTGACTTGCTCAAGGTTACTGTGTTACCCTGGATTAGAGGGGTATGTGTACCCCAGATTTTGATCAAGCTAACTGCAACCATGTTATGTGCCTTCAGCCACCATGAATTAATAAAACAGACCACCACCTAGTTAAGGATTAATTTGAACAAGCAGAACTTCTGGAGGCAAGGTCAAACAGTTGCAGGCTTGCAGTTTCTGCTAATCAGAATTGGAGGAGGGGAGAAAGTCAATTTGAGACTGAAAGAAAACAAGTGGATGGGAACCTTGAGTTTTGGGCACCTTTGACATAGAAGCTTAATCATAATAACAATGTTAGGAATATTTGTCAATAAGTTTATTGAAGTTAGGAGAGGTAATGACCCAGTAGGGGTGACTATGAGCAGTGTGTTTTGTAAAAGTTAGTTATAAAAGACTGGATAATAGAGTGTATTTTGGAACAGCCCTCTGATGCTCTCCTGAGAGAGGTTTTTTCCCCCCCGATAGCTTATTCCCCAGTGGGGAAGTGACTAGCCATCGCAGAACTGCTGAAAATTACTCAATACACTCCCAGATTCAAGGTAATGATTTGGGATGTTCTAAACCAGGGGTCAGCGGCCTATCAGAAGCGATGTGCCAAGTCTTCATTTATTCACTTTAATTTAAGGTTTCGCATGCCAGTAATACATTTTAACATTTTTTTCAAAGGTCTCTCTGTCTATATATTATATAACTAAACTATTGTGGTATGTAAAGTAAACAAGTTTTCAAAATGTTTAAGAAGCTTCATTAAATTAAAATGCTGATCTTATGCTGCCAGCCCGCTACCAGCCCGGGGTTCTGTTCACCTAGGCTGAGCGGGGCCGGCGGCCAGGACCCCAGGCCGGTAGCGGGCTGAGCGAGGCTGGCGGCCAGGACCCCAGGCCGGCAGCGGGCTGAGCAGCTCAGCCTGCTGCCGGTCTGGGGTTCCATCTGCTGGCTCCTGCCAGCCAGGGTCCTGGCTGCCGGCCCCACTCCACCCGCTGCCAGTCTGGGATCCTGGCCCTGCCCACATAGAGTGGATACCTACCTTCTCCCTGGTTCTAGCCATTCTCTTCCTCTCTCTCTCTCTCTGCACTGAGCTGAGGGTGGGAGTGCACTGAGCACAGGGCTGGGGGTAAAGGATCAGGCTGGGGTTTGGAGTGTAGGGTCTGGCCAGGAGTTAGAATGAGGGAGGAGGCTCAGGGTTGGGGCAGGAGGTTTGGGTGTGGAGTGCTTACCAGGACAGCTCCCATTTGGTGCAATGGGTGCAGGTGGGAATGTGTGTGTGTGGGGGGGGAATGTATGCAAGAGCTCCTGTTTTGTGCTCAGAGTGGGGGTGCAGGAGTCAGAGCAGGGGGCTGTGGGTGTGTGAGGATGCAGGAGTCAGGGCATGGGGTTGGGGGGGGGCACTGGAGTCAGGGCTGGGGTTGTGGGGGGGTACAGGGGTCAGGGCAGGAGCCTGGGGTGTGTGAGGGGTGCAGGGTGTGTGGGGAGGTGCAGGAGTCAGGGCAGGGGGCCAAGGTGTGTGTGTGTGGGGGGGGTTGTAGGGGTCAGGGCAGAGGGCTAGGGGTGTGGTTTAGGGTCATGAGGGTGCTCCCAGACCTTTGCCCAGAACAGCTTATGGCATGGGGCTGGAGGGGATATGCCCTGATTCCACTCCTCTTCCCCAAGGCCCCGTCCCCACATCTTCTCCGTCTCCTCCCTGGAGCAGCACGTGCTGCGGCTATACTTCTACTCCTCCTTGCAAGGGCCATCAGATGATTGGCAGCAGGGAGGGAGAGGAGGAGAGGCAGGGGGGACCTTGCCTGCCCTGCTGCAGCAGCCCACAGCACCAAGCTTCTTCACCCTGTTCCCGACGGGGGCAGAGAAGAGCAGGCCGGGGTGGGCAGGATTTTTAATGGCACGCTGCTGCCGGCTGGGGTCCCGGTCGCAGGCCCGCTGCCAGCCTGGGTTCGGCAGCGGGCTGAGCGGAGCAGCGTGCCATTAAAAATCGGCTCATGTATCATCTTTGGCATGCATGCCATAGGCATGCCATCCCCCACCATTTCCAGCTCCCCCTCCCATCCCATTAAGCCATTAGTTGGCACTGCAGAAGTCATTAACATGTAAGAAGTTGCTCTTTGCTGTCTTCTGCCTTATGCAGCTGCACACACATCATCACAGCCAGCAGCTTACCAAAGGGCGGCATGCTACCCTGGTTTATATTGCTCTCACTCCCACTACCTACCTCCAGGTGGGACACCTATCCCTGCCTCAGCCAGGCTTCTATAGCCAAACTCCAGGTCCACCCAGACACCTCTCCTCCAAATCAGGCTGTTCCTCCACACACTCTGGCCAGCCCCTCCCCAAGGGTGATGTGCATCTAAACTATTCATTTTCTGGATTACAGAAGTTTCAATTTATCACCTTCTGACATAGAAACCCCTTGGCAAAGTCACCTGTTCTTTGTAAACAGCTCTCACATCAGACCTGTCAACCTCATTACATCAAACACACACAGCAGGTACTCAGAGGGGTTCAGACCCCTGCAGAAAGGTAGGGCTCCCTTATATACCAGCACACAGATGAAAAGAGAAAATTCAGGACTGATATGCCCCCCCCAGCCCTAAACCCCCTCTGCTACCCCTCATTCTCTAACCTCCCTCATGTTATCCCCTTCTGGTCCCCCTAATCCCCTTCCCTGAGCCCCCACAAACCCTCTTCCCTACAACCCATTCCCAATTATCCCCTGGACCCCTCCCCATAAGATCCCCCACCCCTCACTGGAGACCCACATCCTTCTGCTTCTTTTACCACCTCATCTTGCACCCCTAATCACAGCTGGGTAGGAATGAGGTAGGGGATGGCAGAAAGAGAAAGGAATGTCTCATGACCAAAGCAATTGAATGCTACCCTGGAGACACGGACAATATCCGTGCCTCTGGGATGCTGGACAAATCACAAACTATACGTTTCACACATGGCCACTAATGGTATGTTGTTCATTTTCTGGATACCCGACTTGAGATTCCAGGCTTGGCTTTGCAGAAGTGCTGAGCAGTCACAGCTGCAGCTGAAGTCAACAGAAGCCCTACTTTGAACATGCAACATGCTATATAAAGCGAAGTACTGTGAAAAATCAGGTCCTAGACATCTCATACTGGGCACCAGGGTCAATTTGATTTAAATCACTAGTCAGGAAGACTCAGTTTAATCATGGATTCAACAGGTTAATCATTAATATTTGGAGGATTTTCTTGTGATGCTGTATTAGGAGGAGAACATCACCAGGCAGACATTTAAATTATTTTATTGAACTAAAACAACGTTACATATGTATTTCTTCAACAGCAAACATA